AGTGTCCTACTGTTCCTAAGTCTACTTGTTTTAAGAGTTTTGGACTAAAATAACTACTCTTGCAATAAAAGCTTTTTCTTTTCTTTCTTTTTTTTTTTATTTTTTTTTTAAGACAGGGGCCTTCATGTAGTTCAGGCTGGCATTGAACTCACCATATAGCCTAGGCTGGCCTTGAATTCATCATGGTCCTCCTACCTCAAGTTCCAGAATGCTGATATTACAGGCCTGTTCCACCAAGCCTGGCAAAAACTTCTTTTATCTAGTGGCATTTTTTTTTTTTTTTTTTTTGGTCTTTTTTCCTTTTTACCAGTACCGGGGATTGAACTTACGACTGCCTGCTTCCCAGGCAGGTGCTTATGCCGCTGAGCTGCCCCTAGTGGCATTTTTCTTGAAGTCTGTAGCCTATACCGCATAGGTTTAGGCTATCCAAACCTATGCAGTTTCCATGGAGACTGAGGATGGCGTGCAATTCCTGGACACCTTCAAGAATGCCATCTTCAGTGGCTCAGAGCTGCTGCTGGAGTGCTCACCCTAGCTGCTTTCTCCGGTGTGGACAAGATTTGAAGTGCACACACGATTCAGCCCTAGGCCCATCAGGCTGACACCACACCTGCTCCAGCACTTTTGCCCCATCCCTGAGAAAGGGTGGGTGGTGCTTGCCTGGGAAAGGTCATGTGGCTTTTCATCAGCACCGACACCAGGGCATCCAGCCCAAAGAGGCTGGTGGGCACCATCTTCTAGACCAGGACCATCAGCAGAGAGACTGCTCTATGCCACTACAGGGAGGGCAGGCTGTTCTGCCCTCTGAGTGACAGTCACTGGCAGACTTCAAGTCGTCCTCTTTCATCACCGAGCAGAGCTTCTGTGGACATCAGGGATCCATATAGGCAGTGCCACACCTGTCCTGCGAGAACAAGGAGAGCATCAGGGTGGTGGCACCTGAGAGGATATGAAAGCCCCTTTGCCATTCCTCTTTGAGGCTGACCTCTGGGACCTTTGTAGGAGTGCAGTGTTATTTTTCTACTCTGATCACAAAGCAAACACTTTTATAATAAATGTGTATTTTCTTTAAAAAAAAAAGCCAAAAAAATCCTATGGGTGTTCAAACATTTTATATAGTATTACATTACCTATAAATGATCCAAATTTTAGATTTCTTTTTTTAATATTAAAAGAATGACTTTACCTTGAATAAAATTCTATTTTGGAGCTAAGTGGGATGGAGCATGTCTATAATCCCAGCCTAGGATACCTCAGAGAGGCTGAGGCAGGAAGATCACAAATTTAAGCCCAGCCTGGACAATTTAGTGACTTGATGAGACTCTGTCTTAAGATAAAAAAATAAAATAAAATATTAGGTGGGGATAAAGTGAGAAAGTCCTAAGTAACATATCCAGTACCACAATACATACATACTAAACATATAAAAAAATTTTAAAAGGGGGCATAGGGGATGCAATTCAATTTGATGGCCTGGGTTCAATCCCCCATATTGAAAAACAAAAACAGAAACACTTGTGATCCCAGCACTAGGGAGGCTGAGGCAGGAGGATCACAGCAAGTTTGAGGCCATACTGGGTTACACAATGAGTTCAAGGCCAGTCTGAACTACACAGTGAGATCCTGTTTCCAGAAAAACAAAAAAGCACGACACATCTGGTCATTTTCCATGTATTTATATTGTTTATACTAGTTAGCTTTTTGTGCTTGAGACAAAACACACATGACCTGAGCAGAGATTTCTAGCTCATGGTTTCCAAGGTTTTGGACCATGGTCAGCTGGATCCAAGGTAGAAATAACGTGGTGGTGGGGCACGTCCAGGGGACAGCAGCTTACCTTGAAGCAACTGAAAGCAGAAAGCAGGAAGTGGGCCTGAGAGGAAGGGACCAAGGACAGAATGTAGACCCCCAGGCTACAGTCCCTGGTGACCTGCTGCTTCTCCCTGGGCCTCACTCCCACTGTGAACTCAGCAGCAGATTAACCCATTGGCCAGCAAGTGTCTCACAATCCAATCACCTCACAGGAATCTTTTAATCCAGGCTGGCTGATAGTCAGGATTAGCTGGCATTAAACCAAGTGTGGCCATGCAGCCTGTAATTTTAGCACTCCAGAGGTCGGAGGCATAAGAATCACCTGGAGTTTGAGGACAGCCTGCCCCACACAGGGAGACCCTGTCTCACCCACAAACAAAACAAAACAACAAAATATTAACTGGCATATCATCATACTGGAGTTTTTTTTGTTGTTGTTGTTGTTACCAGGGATTGAACTCATGACCTTGAGTTTATCAAGTAAGCACTTATGCCATTGAGCTAAATCTCCAGCCCATTTGTATGTTTTTTGAGATAGTCTCAGGTAGTTCAGGCTAGACTTGAACTCATGTAACTCAGGCTGGCTGCAGGCTGAAATAAATCCTCCTGCCTCATTCTCTCAAGTGTTGAAATTACATTCACCACTACACCTGGCTCTTTATTATTATTGTTATTATTATATTTTACTTTTTTGTTTGTTTTTAGAGTCAGGGTCTTACTATGTAGCCCAGAATGGCTCTGAACTCACGACCATCCTCCTGCCTCAGCTTCCTGAATGCTAGAATTACAGGCATAAATCACCACACCCAGATTTATTATAGTTTTGGGTTTTTTTCTTTTTGAGACCCAGTTTCCCAATGAAGTTTGGGCAGGCCTTGAGCTCACTTTGTAGCCCAAGCTGGCCTCAAACTTACAATGATCCTCCTGTCTCAGCCTCCTGAGTGCTGGGATTCCAGGCATGTACCATACACCTAGCTTTTATTACTATTTTTTTAATGTGTAGATCATCAGTCTAAATTCTCTAATATCATTTAATATAATTTCCAAGTAAACTTGGTGTGGTGATTTAAAAATATGCTCATAAAACTGGATGCAGTAACATACTCTTACACAAGTTCAAGGCCAGCCTCGGCAACTGAACAAGACTGTCTCAGCCAGGCATGATGGCACATACCTGGAATCCCAGCACTTGAAAGGCTGAGACAAGAGGATTGCTGTGAGTGCAAGGTTAACCTGAACTATGTAGCAGGACCCTGTCTCCAAAAAACCCAGAACAAACCAACAAAGTCTCTGTCTCAAAACATAAATAAGGGGCTGGGGATTTAGCTTAGCGGCATAAGCACCTGCCTTGCAAGTGAGTCGTGAGTTTGTGCAGCCATGAGTTCGATCCCCAGTACCTATTTAAATAAATAAATAAATAAAAAGAGGGTGGGGTCTAGCTCAGTGCTCCCTAGATTCAGTTCCCAATAACACACATACACATACACACACACACACACACACACACACACACACACACACACACACACGAAATCTACAAATTCTTGGATATAGAGGAGCTTAGGGCTGGGATGTAGCATCCTGCTAAGGTACTTGCCTAGAACACAGTGGGGCTTGAGTTGAACTCTACTAGAGCCAAAAGAAAAAAAAAGGTGGAGTTTAATTCTCCTCCCCTTCTGTAGGAGCTGGACTCCCAACTTGATTCTGTGTCTAAAGTGCTGGAGGGCAACTTGGTCCCAGAAAGCTTGTGGCTCCCCTGTTGCTGCCCTCTGGATGGCTTGCTCAGGGGAAGGTAGCTGTTATGCTGTGATGACCCCAGCACCCCTATGGCATGGTGAGGTTACTGAGATGAGGAACCCAGGCCTCCTGCTAACAGCAAGTGAGAACTGTGGCATATGGCCAGTCACCACTTGAGGGAGCTGGCTCGGCTGCTGCTCCCCCTGAGCAGGCGAGAGTGAACCCCAGGTGACAGCCACTCTGCAATGCCCCAGAAGCCCTTGAACCAGACTCACGAAGCTAAGCCTCTAGATTCCTGATCCTCAGAAATGGAGGGTTGATGGGCCAGGGATTTAGCTCAGTGGTATAAGCGCCTGCCTGGCAAGTGCAAGGTCATGAGTTTGATCCACAATACAAAAAAAAAAAAAAAAAAAAAAAAAAAGGAAGAAAGAAAGAAAGAAATGGAGGGCTGAGGATGTAGCTTGGTGGTAGAACACATGCTTAGCATTTGTGAGGGCCTGGATTTGGTTTTCAACACTGCCAAAAAAGTATGAGGTAATGCTTTTTTTAAAAAAATGCTTACTTTAGACTACTAAAGTTTGGAATAATTTATTATATAATAGAGACAGTTGGTATATTGACACATTTTACGGAAGCACTGTCCTATCTGTTTTGGCATCTATATCAAAGTAACTATGGCTGGGTAATTTATAAACAATCAAAATTTACTGCTTATAATTCTACAAGTTGAGAAGTCCAAAATCCAGAGTCCAGTAAGCATGGTATCTGGTGAGAGCTGTGACCTCACCTAGTATAGGAACAAATAGGAGTCTTTGAGCCCTTTTTTTGTATTTTTGTTGTTGTTTTGGAGACAGGGTCTCGCTATGTACCCCCAGGCTGGCCTCAAACTCATGACAATCCTTCTGCCTCTGCCTCCCTAGTGCTAGGATGATAAGTATGTACCACCACACCCAGTTCCATTTTAGGTTGATTTTTCACTGATTCATGGCAGTCCAGATCGGCCTCGGATTTGTGGTGCTTCTCTGTCTCAGCTTCCCAAAATGCTGGGATTGTAGGCGTGTGCCACCATGTTTGGTTTTTTGTTTGTTTTGTTTTTTGTTATCAGGGCTCAAACTCAAGACCATGCACTTGCCAGACAGATGCTGGTACCGCTGAGCTAAATCCCCAACCCTAATGCTTGGTTTTTTAAACTCTTTTATATAAAGGCAAGAATCCCGTTCACTAGGGCTCTGCCCTCGGCCCTGATCACTAGGTTCCTAAAGGCCTCACCTCCTAATGCTCTCACACCAGGGATTACATTTCCACTTGCAATGCTGCAGGAAGCTGTGGGGAACGCATGCCCTTGGGATATATGTGTTGAAGTCGGACCCCACACAGTGATGTTAAGAGCTGGGGGTTCTCGGAGGTGTGAATTATAAAGTGGAGCCTCCATGAATGATTTTACAATATAGGTATGAAACTGTTCCACTTGTGAGGACAAGGTGACTCGTCTTTACCTTGGAGTCAGAGACCTCATCACACACTCCACCTACTGATGTCCTGATCTCAGACTTCCCAGCTCCCATGACTGTGAGTAATAATTTTTTTCGTAGTTTATAAATTGCCCAATCTCAGCCGGGTGTGGTGGCTCACGCCTGTAATCCCAGCACTCAAGGGCCTGAGGCAGGAGGATTGTTGCAAATTCTAGACCAGCCTGGGCTGCAAAGTGAGCCAAGTGTTTTCTTTTTTGGTTCTTTGAGATAGTGTCTCACTATGTAGTCCAGGCTAGCCTTGAACTCACTATGCAACACAGGTTGGGTCTGCATTCTTGGTGATCCTCCTGCTCAGTCTCCCCAGTACTGGGAGTACTGGGACTACAGGCATGCGTGACCACACTCAGCAGCTGTTTTCTTACGGTAGCATAAATAGACTAAAACGAGGAGATACAAACATCGGGACCACAGCAAGAGTAATACTCATGTAGAAATGAGGACTAGCAATGAATTCTCACAAATTCAATGTTCCCACATAATCAGTAACCAGATCGAGAAATGAAACAGAGCTGAGAGTGGTGAGGCACACCTGTAATCTCAGCTACTCCAGAAGCTGAGGCAGGAGGATCTCTACGTCAAGGCCAGCCTGGGCAATGTAGTGAGATTTTGTCTCAAGATAAAATGGGAAGGAAGATACACACACACACACACACACACACACACACACACACACACACACACACAGAGACAGAGACAGAGATAGAGACAGATGAAGTGGGTTGTTTAGTGATAGATTGCTTGGTCATAGAGCACTTGCCTAGCATGGAGTTCAATTCCTAGCACTGAGGGAAGAAAAAAATAACATCAAGGCCAAATTTCTTAAATTTAATTACTGAGCTATAGTTATGTACAAGATTATAATGTTATACCAACATTCTCTTTTTTTTTTTTTTTGTCTTTTTCATTTTTTATCGGTACCAAGGATTGAACTCATGACTGCCTGCTTGCAAGGCAGGTGCTTATGCCACTGAGCTAAATCCCCAGCCCCTATACCAACATTCTCAAGACCTGGGTTCAATCCCCAGCACCATATGCAAAGAAAAGAGGATTCTATAACCCCAAAGACCTCTCTAGTCATTACTCCTCTACTGCCAAGAATACATGCTAACATTTCTCTTCTTCTTGAGATGGTTTTGCCTCAGCCTCCTGAGTGCTGGCATTACAGGCATGCACCACCATGCCTGGAAAAACGCTAACTTCACTGCATTATATTTACCTATGTATTTTCTTTACATGTGATCACATGATTTCACATTGTTATTCTCTTTACACACACCACATATTCACATATTCATTCTTATTTGGATAAAATTTGCAAAGAACCATGCCTTTCAACTATTCAGCATATGAATTCTAAAAACAAGTATAATCTTCTACATAACTATAGCTCAGTGATTAAATTTAAGAAATTTGGCCTCTTCCCTCAGTGCTGGGGATTGAACTCCGTGCTAGGCAAGTGCTTTATGACACAGCCACACCTACAGCCCAAATGAGCTTTTATCTAGTATGATGTCCCACCAGCACCTTTATAGTAATCCCCCCAGTCCAATCCAAGATCAAGTGCATTTGTTGTCATGTCTCTATTTCCTCTTTGATCTTAAAAAGTTCCTCAGCTCAAAAAAAAAAAAAGTTCCTCAGCTCTTCATGATGTTATGCAATTAACATTTTTAAAATGGATTTAACTCACTTTCTATACTTAAAAAACAAACCAACCCAGCTGGGTGTGGTGGTGCATTCCTACAATCCCAGCTATTCAGGAGGGTGAAGCTGGAGGGGCAGAAGTTTGAGGATGATTAGTGAGACCTTGTGTCGAAATTTAAAGGAAAAATAAAAAGGTCAAGGGTAGAGTGCTTCTGAGTTTGACCTGCAGTACCAAGAAAACAAGAAAAAAAACAAAATGAAAATCAAAAAAAGCAACCCAGACTTCTTTGATCTTAACCATTACTTCAGAACACCAGGTCATTTCTTCAAACAAGAGCTAATTCATGAAATTGGAATTTTTTTCTTTTCACAGTTCTGGGGATTAAATCTAGGGTCTTACACACACCAGACAAGTGCTCTACCACTGAGGTCCTTATAATATGATTTGTTTTGTTTTGTATTTGAGACAGGTTCCTCCTAAGTAGTTCTGACTGGCCTTGAATTCACTGTGTAGCCCAAGCTGGTCTCAAACTTGCAGTGATCCTCCTGCTTCAGCATCTCAAGCATAACTGGATTTTTTGTTCAAAGTATTTAGTTGAATCTAAATATGTTAGTCACAGTTGCTTCCCAAATAACATGATAACTATAGCTAGGTGTGGAGGTGGGTGCCAATAATCCCAGAACTCTAGGAGGCTGAGGTGGAAGATCACAAGTTCAAACTCAGCCTGGGACCCCATTATTCAAGGCTGAAGCAGGAGGATCGCTGTGAGTTCAAGGTCAGCCTGGGATATTTAGTGGGCTTAAAATCAGCCTGCACTACAAAGTGAGATGCTGCATCAAAAAAACAATCTACAAACAAACAAAACAACAACAAAAGCCCAAAACCAAACCCAGTCTGGGGAACCTAGAGACTTAATGAGACTGTCTCAAGATAAAAAAAGAGTTGGGGAAATAGCTCACTGTGAAGTCCCTGGGCTCAATCTCCACTACTGAAAAAAAAAAAAAAAAAAAAAAAAAAAAGACAATTAAGTAGCCGGGCGTGGTGGCTCACACCTGTAATCCCAGCACTTGGGAGGCTGAGGCAGGAGGATTGTTGAGAATTTGAGACCAGCCTGGGCTACAAAGTGTGCTCAAGGCCAGCCTGAACTGCATAGTGAGACCCTGTCTCAAAAAGACCAAAAAAAAAAAAAAAAAAAGATAATTACATACAATCTCAGAAGATTAAGCTAGCTGGGCATGGTGGCGCAACCTGTAATCCCAGCACTCAGGAGGCTGAGGCAGGAAGATCCTTGCAAGTTTGAGACCAGCCTGGGCTACAAAATGAGCTCAAGTTCAGCCTGAAAATTGCATAGTAAGATCCTGTCTCAAAAAACAAACAAACAAAAAGATTAACTGAGTTGGACAACTTTACCTTTTACTCAGAAAAACTTTTGCTCCAGAACTCGCCTCACTACTTCCTGCCTCAGTCTCCTGAGTGCATGTGCCACCATGCCTGGCTACTACTTCCATTTAGTTAGCATACATTTCCTGAGCCTCTAGTGCATGCTAAACACTATGCCAGGCTCTGGGGATTTTCAGGTGAATAAGAGTCTTTGCCTTCAAGAATAAGGAATGTAAGCCAGATGTGTACTCCTTGCATTCAGGAGGCTGAGACAGGAGGACTGCTATCAGTTTGAAGCCAGTCTGTGTTACATAGTGAGTTCCAGTCCAGTCTGAACTACACAGCAAGACTGCCTCAAAACAAACAAACAAACAAACAAAAATGTACAGAGGAGGCTGTACATACATATACAGTTACAGAAAGCATATGTGGATACCATGTCATATGTGAGAAGACTGATACCATGGGAGCAAGAAAAGGACAAGACCGATATGGGGGCTGGCAGAGGTTCTTCGATGAGGCATGACCTGAGGACTTCTTAAAAGATACCTGAGGTGTTTTCCCAGGAGCAGCACATAGCGTATGTGCGTTGGGCAGGGGTGGGCTGGGTAGTATGGTGGGCTGTAGGCAGGACTACCTGTATGAGGTTTGCTGATGCTCCAAGATAGGGCAGGGTTTCCTTACATGTTCTACAAGAGGCTTTGTTTCAAATTAAAAGCAGAAAGTCCACAGAATCAGTGCAGTCTTTTAAAATCACCCAGGGTTTGGGGGTGTAGTTCAGCTGTAGACTGCAAGCTGAGGATGCTCAAGGCTCTGGGTTCAATCTTTGGCACCAAAATAATAACAATATTACCTAGGGTGTTTTATTGAGCGAATCCCAAGTGGGGGAAGAGAAGTGGGCAGAAGCTGTTAAGAGATGAGGAGAGAGCAAATTAGGGGTGTGACAGAGGAGGCGGGGTGAAGAAATGATTAAGATACCAAACTGGCAGCAACTGGAGCCCCGCAAGGTACTGGAAGTGGAGAGTTAGGCTAGCATGGTTGGAGGCGCCAATAAGCAAATGGTAAGTACGCAGAAAGCCTTCCATTTGGGAGAAGTGGAGAGTGGGGTGCAGGGTGGAAAGAGAATGAGTTCAGCTTTGGTCTCTTGAGCATCAGGTGCTCATGGGGCATTGAAGTGGAAATGGCTCCTTGGAAGACCTGGGAAAGTCAGGAGCGTAGGAGTGGGAACCAAATGGGTGCGTTCACTAGAGTAGGAGAATACACAAAGAGGAAACGCCTATTGATGCAGCAGCATTTCAGGGAGCCAGCAGAGAAGCTGAGGCAGGAGGACTGCTGTGAATTCAAGGCCAGCTTGAACTACGTAGCAAGATCCTGTCTCCAAAAAACGAAAAAACGCAATGTGGTGATATATAGCTCTTCCACAATAAAGACTAGGCTTACATTTACTGGTCTTGATTATTGCACTTTTAGAGGTCACTTGGAGGCCAGGAGTATAGCTCAGAGCGCTTGCCCTGGGTTTGATCCCCAGCACTGCAAAACAAAGAAAACCAAACCAAACCATGTAGAAATCTAAAACAAACAAAAGCCAACAACAAAACTTAAACCAAGAAATCATTTTTCTATTGTAGTATCTCTTGACTAGAAAATTAAATTCTATTTAGCTCAATTATCAACCCAAGGGTACTCAAAGATTAAATTTAACTTCTGCTCTTGGATGTCCTACAGGTTTCTTCAACTTTGAAGGCGCCCAACATGTCTCAACTCAGATTTCTTCTGGGATTAAACATCCAATTCCTCTGATGATAATTTCTAGACTTCTCCAATGGTCTTCTGAGAATGCTTCAATTTGTCAATAAACATAGCATATGATGACAGTCTCTAACTTGTGCACAGTATTCTAACTGGCTATACTACATTGTTTTAAAGACCTTGTTTCCAAGCTACTGGGGATTGGACATACAGTATTACACGTTAGACAAGTAGTCTACCCATGAGCTACATCCTTGGCCCTTTACAAGACTGTCTTAGATGTTCCAGATGGCCTGGAATTTATTATTCTCTTGCCTCATCCTCCCAAGCAGCTGAGATGTTTACAGGTCTGAGTCTAGAGATATTTTATTATTTTTTTCTTTTCAAGATAGAGTCTCAATACATAGTTCAATCTGACCTCAAACTCAAATTTACAGGAACCCTTCCATCTAAACCTCATGAGTGCTGGGATTACAGCGGTGTACAGGCAACCAGGCCAGGGTGAAGACATTTCCATAATTTAGGCATGCTACAACTCTACACTGTTAGCTGTCAGGATACATAGTTACTGAAGTACATTGCCTTTCCTTCCAATAGTAACTTGTAACCAACTCTTCTCCCACCTGCTTCTGTGGTTGATTCTTTTTAGCTTATATGTACCTTTCACATTTGTGCTTTTTTTCATTGGTTCATAGCAAAAGCTTTATTCTTGGGGTTTTATGGGGCTAAAATGGCCAGGACACCTGATAATAGAAAAAATCAAATGTGGAGCAACTGTCAAGGTGAACGGACCCTTCAGGAACTCCAAATTTGCTTTAGTGCTTTGATTTAGCTACAGGTTTCTAGTTTTTCCTAAAACTGAAAGTTTAATCTAGAATTAGATTAAGGTTTTTATTTTTTAAATCTATTTTTTGAGACAGGGTCTGACCATGTAGTTCAGGCTGGTCTTGAACCTTGCAGCCCAGGCTGACCTCAGACATGCTGTGATCCTCTTCCTACCTCAGCCTGCCAAGTGCTGAGATTTTGTGTGTGCCACCATGTCTGTCAATCATTTTCTGACTAGTTAATTCTATTTATTTTTTGGAACCGGGAATTGAATTTATGACCTTGTGTTTGCCAGGCAGGTGCTGTGCCACCGAGCTAATTCCCTGATTTTTTTTTTTTTTTTTTTTTTGAGAGGCAGTCTCATTATGTAGCCCAAGCAGGCCTTGAACTGGTACCAATCCTCCTGCCTGTCTTCTGAGCGCTGGGATTAACCAGTGTCCATCACCATGCCTGGTTCATTCTCTTCTGGGAATTTTTTTTTCCAGGAGTCAACTCAGCACCTTTTGCTTGCCAGGAAGGCACTTATGCCACGGAGCTGTATCCCAGCTCCATTCTCTACTAAAACCTCAAGAGGACTAGTTCAGGTTCCTTCAATGACAGAGGACATAGCCTCGACTAACCCCTAGACTCTCTTAAGCAAATGTGAACCAAATAGAAAACTCACACTGAAGAGGTAGGACACGGAGGTCAATCTCAAGAGACAAAAGAGACAGGCAGTATAACCACATGGTACGAGAAACTTAAGGCTGAGGACCTGAATGTGTAACGGAGACCATATGCTCAGTTTGGGCTTCGCTTCTCACAAGGGGGAGGACTGCTCGGAGTCCACCATTCCTGAAGCTAAGTTACTGGACTGGTTCTCTACCATTCCTTCATTCAGGACCATCTTCCAGTTTGTGTCCCATCAATAGGCAGGGGCTGACAGTTCAAGTGGATTTGCTGAAGCCAAACTACCTGGGTTTGGATATTGTCTCCACCATTTACTGGGCCATGTTAATGTGTCTGTAAAATGGAACTGGATCTTAAAACTTGTGAGGGAAAAACATGTAAATATAAATCACCTGGAACATGGTCAAGCACATCTTAGGAACACTGTTTCTTTGCATGCTCTCTGGCCTGAAAAGTTCTAACACCTACATTGCTTACTTGGCCTGTCTGGTGTAGATAAATGGAGGCTGACTGCTAACAACATGGCAGAAGACAATTACTTAAACCCAAGTTTCTATTGAGTGGGAAGACAAGGTAGTTTCCTCCTGCATACACTTTATTCACACATGCTGTCTCACTAAACATACCACAGTCTCAGAAGGCAGCTGAGGGGCAGTTAGGGCTGGCAGGGCAATCCTTGCTTCTAGCCTTGCTCAAAAGCCAGGAGCAAGAGGGGGCGCGAGAGGCAAGGGTGAGGACGAGGCAGTGCGCAGGGCGTGGGAGGCAGCTCGAGTGAGGCAGGCAGGCACCAGTTCTAGCCAATTGACACTTTATTTTTCTACCTGACACTTGCACAGATGTTACTATCCATTTCCTGACCCTAGCAAGGGGCTCCGCCCACAACCCAAAGGAGCACGTTTCCTTCCTTGTCCCCATGACAGCACCCAGCGCAGGCACATGTGCCGTGGGACCTGTTCTCCTACACTGAGAAAGGGCTGAGCTTGTAAAAGGGTGTGGTGCAAGTTACCGAGGCTACAGTAACCTGTGTGGGGGCACTACTGGCCTGACCACCCACCACCAGGGGTTTATTCTTCCCAGATCAAGAGCTGCCCTAAAGCTTGGCCAGTGTATGTGGGAAGAAGCTGGCAAAGGGTATGGTTACGCTGCTATGGATAGGACATGGCAAGGAAATAAAGCCAAGAACACAGGACAGGAGAGGAAAATCATAAAGTGCCTCAACTAAACAACCAAGTGGGACATGAGGGCAGAGCAGCACAGGTCCCTGAGGATAGGAAGAAAAAGAAAGGGCTAGACCAGCAGGCTTGGGACACAGTGGAATGAGGAGAAAGATGAGGCGAGGAGGCAAGTGCAGGCTGTGGGAAGGACCTCCCCAGTCCTGTTCACATGGAAAATTATTTACAAACTCAAAACTAATCCTAGGCACAAGTGCTGCACCAGGCCCAGGACAGCAGGCAGAGGGTGGGCTGGCTACTGTCTGACAGCTGGCCTCCCCACCTGGTGCCCCTCCGGAGGGTGGCAGGGAAAGGAGGAGACAGTGACAGCTCTAGCTAGGAAGCCTTACTCTGCCTGCAGCTCCTTCTATCATGGCTCATGGTTCCACCACAGCCCCGGCCTCTTGGTCTGACTGTACCAGGGAATGGGTGTCTGGCCCCAGGGGAGGAGGAGGTGGAACATCAGGGGGCTTTGGGGGTGTCTCTAGTCCCAAGCCCAGCTCTGCATTCAGCTGCTCCAGTTCCCCCTGATCCAGCAACTCAAAGTCCTCAGTGGTGAGTGCCTCTTCTTCTTCAGGGGCAGGCAGGGGCTGGGGTGAGTCCTGGGGAATAGGTAGGGGGAGGGAGGAGGAGGGGGAAGGGAAGGGGACTGGGTCACTTTCGCCATGGCAACATGGGGGTGACAGGGAGCTGGGTGGAGCCGCAAGGTCACCACTCACTAACTCTGGACTCTGTGTCTCCACTGGTTCTCCAGGGGAGCACTCCACTCCATCCTGGGGGGTCCCTGCCCCATTGAAGTGTGTGTTCACAAAGTGCAGAGGAGACGAGAGCCGAAGCAAAGTTTCCTTGGCTGTCACATCTTCCTCTTCCTCCTCTGAGTCCAGGGCCTGCCTTGAGAGGGCCTGAGGGGGGCCTAGCAGGTCTTCAGGGGGTGCCAGCTCTGCCTCGTCTGCCTCCCCCAGCTCCCGGCCCAGGGCCTCCTCTGGCTCACTTGGTAGGCTCTGCTGGTCCAAATCTGCAGAAAGGACAAAGTTAGGAATGGGCCTGCTGCTCTGATGTGTCATAACAGCCACTCAGTTCAAGGATGAGAACTTAGATGTGACAGGTTTTAGGGCTAAGTCAGTTCCCTAGAGGAATAGGAAGTCAGGGAGCATAACCAGCACCCCACCAACAGGGAGCAGAAAGATCGGGATAGGTGAGGAGCTCCCCATACCTTCAGAGACATCTGTCAGTTGTGGAGTCGTGGCTCGAGATACAGAGAAGCCGCCACTCTCCAAGATCGAAGCTTCTTCATCTGACAACTCTGAATCAGTAATGGCCAAGGCCAGTGCTGTTTTTTTCACATCCACCTGCCGAAGAAACAGAAAGAACACAACGGGTAAAGCGGTAAGACCAACCTAGCTCCAAACCACCTAGCTCTACTCCTTTGAAATGAAGCACCTCTAAAACAGATCTCTGTGTACCCCCAACCCCCATCTCCCCTGAACCTCACCACTGGGGAGAAGCCAGCCAGCTCTGCCTCACTTTCACTCTCTGTCTCTGCCAGTGGCTCATCACCTCCTGGGGGTGTGTTCTTCCCTTGCCGCTCTAGAGGATAGCAATAAGGCAGTGACCAAACAAAGACACGGCCACGGAACTGGAGATTATCTAATGCCGGGGCACATCATGAGCAGTAAGCCAAGGCCCTCCCTCACTTTCCCTCTTTCAGGTTAAGAGAGGCCCTTACTCCTCTTGTCATGTTTGTGATGCAGGGCATCAGCTTCCGCCTTCATGCTGTAGTCCAGCTGCATGAGCAAGGGCTCAAGGCGCGTGTACATCCTCTGAATCAGCTCATGATAAACCACCAGGGGCCACAGCAGGATACTCAGCACTGTTGGTTAGAAAATCCACTTAGAGGGACTAGAGATTTAGCTCAGCGGCATAAGCGCCTGCCTTGCAAGCAGGCAGTCGTAAGTTCGATACCCGGTACCAAAGGAAAAAGACAAAAAAAAAAAAAAAATCCACTTAGAGCTCCCTATACAAATTTCCTAAGAGTTCTCATTTATCTGGCCCCTAAACACGAAGGGCTGAAGTCCTTTTCCGAGGCAACACTACCCTCTTCCCTCCTCCCATACCTACTGCCCTCCCATGGGCTGATTCTTCTGTTAGCAAGGGTGTTCTACAGCAGCCCTGGAGATCTCCACAAAAGGGTAACTGTGCAGGCAGATAGAACACAGGCCTCCCTCCAATCAGTCCAGGAAACAGGAAGAGCAGAGAGGTTTAGGAAGGGCAGGGCTAGACTCTACTCACAGACAATGTAGGAAATCATAATCCCTGGAACATAGTGTCCCAGCACTGCCAGCACAGCACACCCAGAGCAGACTCGAGCACAGAACTGCAGAGAACAGCACAAGGTCTATGAAAAAGTGGGTGGGGTTATATGCCTCATTCATTTAAGTAAAAAACTGCTTAGCTTAAGAAAAAATCGACATTTCCTCTAGGAATTCATTCTAATCAAGAAGATGCCTCACAGCTCCAGTACAGGAAGTATGCACTAGGTCCTGCTCACAACACTGCTCCCTCCAATCCTACAGGAACTGTGGCTCCAGAATCTGCTGTAGGAGCTAAGAAGCTTACCTGAGCTGGATTCTGCCTCTTGTACTGCAGCAGCTCTTGCAGGTGAATCTGGAAGGTGAGCCAGCTCTCAGCCAGGCATCTGCACAACTCGGGCACACTCAGCAGGTGCGGCCGGGCGCCTGACCCCGAACCCTCACTGGGGAGACACGACATGGCCCTGGAGGCCTCAGACACCAGCTTCCTAGGCACTCAAATTCCTCTGAGATTGCTGATCATGAATCTAAAATAGAAAACTCCACCTCCCACAGGAAGGCCATCCTGATCCTGCAAAGCAAAAGCCCAGGGCACCCAACCAACCCTCTGCCTCAAAACAAGCAGGTATATAAACACCTACATAGGAATTTAGCACCAAGAAGACTGTGGCTTGTGGCCAGTTCCTTCACTATGCTGGGACCTGTGCTACAGAAGCTGCATTTGTTGCCCCTCTTTGCACTGAAATTGCACCAGTAAGCAAAACTGGATTTGGGGAGCCATCCTCAAGAGATGGTTGATACTCACCTGTCAGAGTGTGGCTCCTCAGGGGATGATGCTACAGAGAGAGGAGAAAGACAAATTACTGAGTGGTAGGGGTACTGGGAGACACCCTGGAAGGCAGAAACAGTTGCTGCTCCTTTGCAGCCATACAGCACTTTCTTCAGACATCAACAGAAGTAACAGTACATGCCTTTTTTGTATGTGTTTCTTTTTTTTCTCTTTAGTACCTCAGACTGAACCCAGATAATTGTACTTTTTAAATTCTGAGACAGGATGTTGCTGAGTTGAGCAGGCTGGACTTAAACTTGCAATTTTCTTGCCCCAGCCTCTTCAACAGTTAGAACTACAAGTATGCACTAGTGTACCCAGCCTGCCTCCTCCTATTCGTGTTTATATCCCAAGTAATTCAGCCTTATCCCTACTTGCTCCAAACTGCACATTAACACATAGAAAACATGAACACTGAACTAATATGTGTAATTCTTACCATGATCAACACACTAACATAACCATATGACATGTATTGACTTATTTAGTCCTCACATCTCCATATACTACTTTTCCATCCACTGCTTTAGTTAAGAAAACTGAGGCAGACACTGAGAGGGTGTGTTTACAGGATCACACACACACACTCACAAACACAGATATACACATGGAAAGTGTTGCAGAGTAAGGCACGGAACCTAAGTAATCTGGTTGCAGACTTCTCGGTCTTGCCCAACTGACACATGAACATTCAATTTGGAAAACCAATTCTGGTTTTAGTCAATTTCTTAAAACAGCGGAGTGGGGTGGGGAGTGGGCTCGGAGGCAAGTGGACTCCTCTACATTCCTCTCACTGTTCAACCCCACTCACTGAGGTCAAGCACAAAGAGCACAAGGGGTGCTTGCTGAATGAAGAAAGACTCACCTGAGACATCGGGGAGGAAGCGAGGCTGCCAGAGATCCAGCAAAAAATAGGCCAAAATTGAGATGCTGAGAAGGAAGATTGGCCGGAAAGACGATGAAGACAGTAGCCTTCGGGAGAAACAGGAATCTCAGCAGAAAGTGGGTGCAAGGCCCCTTGCGTGCATCGCAAAAGCGCTCACTAATGCGGGATCAGCACCTTCAGGCCTAACTCTCCACGCGGAAATAAGAGGAATTGAGCACCCTGAGGGCAAGTCAAAACCTAGAGGATGGATTTTTCCTACAGGCCAAGTGACAGCCCAGAAAGAGAACCCCAGAGCCCCGCTCCACCCGCCCCCGCTCTCCCCGCGTTGACCGGCCCCGCCCCCTCCTCCGCGGCCGTTACCAGAAGAGGCCGTTGATCGCGGCCGCCGTGACCAGGCTGTGCAGTGGCTTCTCCCAAACCAGCAGCCGCTGAGCCGCCGCCAGCACCGCCTCCCAGCCGCGAAGCCGCAGCCACAGCGTCGTGGCCAGGCGGCCCACCGCCTCTGCCGTGGCCGCCTCGTCCTCCGCCTCGCCGGTGGTCTCACCCATGCCGAGACTCAGGCCCAGCCCCAGGCCCAGCCCCGCACCCCCACTCGAGCCGGTGTTACCACCGCCACTCGCCATAGCCCCGCCGCAGCCGCCGCCCGAGCCCGCAAGGAGCCAGGGCTGCGCGGCCGCCGCCGGGGGCGCTTCAGGCGGAAGGGGGCGCACGCCAAGGAGTGCTGGGGCTGCGGGCGCGCGTCATGTGACGGTGCAGCGCTGAGCTCGTCACGTGACGCGGCCTAACAGCCCGGATGCGGCGGCTCGCGCTTGCGCGTAGGGAGCTGCGTGACCCTGGACGTACGCGTTTGCGTGTTTTGGATTGTTGGAGTCGTGACGCTGGGCCAGGTTTTGCGCGTTCAGCTTCGTTTCTCACGGTGCTTATAATGGGGTAGCTACGGAGCCTGGGCTGGCTCGTGTTCCCGGTGTGACCGCGACGGAAGGGGCAGGAAGTGGCCTTCTGGTGCCCCAGGTGGGACCTACAGCTGTACTATGAGGGCGTCGGCCGTCGCATTACTCAACCTCGACCCACTGGTCCTCCTGGCTCCTGTCCCTTCGCGTGTAAACAGACACCCGCGCGTGTCTGGCGGACTCGAAAACAGCTTCACCCATTTAGAAAAGTTGCTTCTTCTTTTTCCGTACATCGTCTTCGCGCCTCCACGCATAGGCGCCACCCCAGTCCTCTATAATGTGAGATTGGTGGCGGGAAGTGAGTTGGAAGACAAAACCTTGTTTAAATGCTGTTCTCTCTGGGGGCCGCGCGGGGTGGCGCATGACAGTAACCCAAACACTCAGCTGGTTTAGGAGGATCACTCTGAGTTCTACGCCAGCCTGAACTGCACAGTGTGACTCAGTCCAAAAGAAATTCTCAGATGATCCAAGGGACACGATAACATGTTCGGCCGCTTCATATTCCCTTGAGGTTATTTACTTGTTGCAGCGATCCGGCAAAACACAGTATATATTGAATGTGATTTAGCATGTCAAGCTCCTAAAAAATAGTGAAAAGTTTCCCTTCCACTTGGTTCACAGTTTTCCCACTGGTAAATTTCCGACGCCTTACGTTCACTGCTAACTGGTCATTTTCCCTTAAAAAAAAAAACACACAAAAACTAGGAGTAACTTGCTGTGCTCCCTCCTCCTTTTATTCATATTAGCATCTACACCAATTCCAAGAGGTCTGCCCAGCTCGTTCGCGCTCCGAGTGGCGCGTTCCCCTAGGAGCTGTCCCCGTTTCTCAGATGAGGCCCCTGGGGCTCGGCTCAGTGGCTCAGTGAGGCTTGGAGTTAGGTGCCGCCCTTCCCAGACCGGGTCGGGCGGGGGACACTTCCTGCGGGCGACACGCCCGCGGCTTGTAAACGCGGGGTGGACGCGGCGCGGGCACAGCACAAGCCTGGCCGCCGGTGTCCCCACTTGGCGAGGTGAGAGCGACGCTTGGTGCCCTGGGCGGAACAGGAAGACGCGCCCGCCTCGCGGCCCCGCCTGCCGCAGCCGGCGCGAGGGGAGGGGGCTGCGAGGGAGGCGGCCTGCGGCGGGGAGGCAGGCGGGCAGGTGGGCCGGAGGGCGGGGACGGCCCCGTGAGCCCCTTACCACTCCGTCCCTTAACCTCCACCTTCGCAGGACTGTGGCAGGCGGCGCGATGGACTTGGCCGGGCTTCTGGACGAAGAAGGCACCTTCTCCCTCACTGGCTTTCAAGACTTCACGGTGAGCGCGCAGCCCCCTGCTTACCCTAACGCCCGCGCCTAGCCGCTGCACTCCCTCCCGGCCCAAGAAAGGTAGCTGGCTCGCTTGATGGTCTTGCCCTGGCCTGGGCACCAGCCGCTGAAACAACATCTACTTGAGGCCTGGGCTCCTTAGGCCCTGAAGCAGAACCGCGGGGTGTAGGGAGGGAGGTAGGGCTGACAATAGTGGGGCTCATTTAGGAGACCCTCTCCAGGAAGCCCTTAGTGGGAGCCACATATCTTTTTCCCCACGTGGAAGAAGCTGCCGAAGCTGCCATGGGCAAACAATCCGGAGAACTCTGAGCTGGGTGGGGCTCGGGCCCCTGGCAGTCGCAGCCTCCAGCCAGGAGCCTGGATCTCCATCATACCCTTCCCTGCCCTTCACCCTCTACTACCCCTCTACCATGTTTCAGTTCCTCCCAGGACACCAGAAACTGAGTGCCCGGATCAGAAAGCGACTGTACTATGGCTGGGACTGGGAGGCCGACTGCAGCCTGGAGGAACTCTCCAGCCCCGTGGCAGGTTAGGCGGTGTTGTGCAACTGGGCAAATTAGAAACTTAAGAATGGGGTCACCCATATATGCCTCCAGGGTTGCCTTCTGAACTGTATTGCCTCTTCATAGTTAGCTTATTGTACTTGGTTCAAGAATGCAGGTTGTGTTTCACATTGGCTTAGCTCTCTTGAGCAAATCTCATGAACTGGTATGAGAGTTGTTTGTTTTTGTGGTGTGGGCTTTGAACCCAGGGCCTGCCTCATACATGGTAGGCAAGTAATCTATCACTGAGTTACATCTCCAGCTCTGTTTTGATTGGTATTCCAGAAATTTTAATTTTTCTAAGAATATTCATTGTATGATTTTCAAGTAAACAAGGCATGTTTACTTTTGATAGTGACAGTAAAAGACAAAAGTGGATACTTTCAAGCGACAAGGAAATAAATCTTCCTGCTGGAAAGAGCTGATATTTAAATTTGGAATGGGCTTTTGGCTTGGCTTGGGAGAATTTGATCTCTGTTTTGTTACTATGGACCTGTCCTTAGATAATCAGACCTGAGTCTTTGCTGGTAGCGCTTGGAGACCTTGGGGGTTGGGAGGAGCCTTGCTTCACTCTGCTGTCCTGTCCTCTGCAGACATTGCTGTGGAACTGCTCCAGAAGGCAGCCCCCAGCCCTATTCGCCGGCTCCAAAAGAAATACGTGGCTCATGTGTCCAGGTGAGCCTGGAATTGAGGGGATAGGATGAGAGTTTGGGCCCTAGAGTGGACAGGACTGGCTCTCTCTAAAGAGAAGACAGAGAGAAAGGGGGAGGGGAGGAGAATGTGAAAGGGCTAAGACTTGATACATATACATACACTTGATACATGTATTCATTATATGTCACAAACATACACTAAAATTATAAGGAGAAGATACAAACAAGGTGAACATTGCAAGAGCTGTGAAAGCTAAAGGACTCTTGGGTTTAATTATGGAACCTTTCCACCTCCCAGAGAAGCATGCATTTCCCCCTGTGCTATGATGCTAGCTCTGGTGTACATTGAACGGCTCCGGCACCGAAACCCAGATTACCTGCAGCACGTGTCCTCTTCCGACTTGTTCCTGATCTCCATGGTAAGGCAGCCCCTCCCCTCTTCTCCCTAGTGAGCCAGGAGCCTGATGTGAGTTCTACCAGTACCCTTTTTGGTTCCTCTGCAGATGGTGGCCAGCAAGTACCTCTATGATGAAGGGGAGGAAGAGGAAGTCTTCAATGATGAATGGGGAGCTGCTGGGGGTGTGGCTGTGCCTACTCTCAATGCCTTGGAGAGGGGCTTCCTGAGTGCCATGGTGAATAGCTGTCCTCTGTCTTGTTCTGTTTCCCTGCTTCATCTTTACCTTCCTTTGATCCTTAGTCTCCCTCAGCCTTCTGTTGTTTCCTCATTTCCCTTCCTGTGTATCCTCCTATGCCTTTTTGTTGTGGCTTCCCTGCCTATCCTTTTAGGACTAACTGCTGGGAGGTGAGGCCAGGAGTGGAGCACTTCCTCTCCTCCTGTGTTCCCACAGGGTTTCACAGGCACTGAGTATTTCCTGCCAAACTTTCTCTACCCCTATGCTCTGGGCTCTTTTTGGACATGGGCCATTCTCAGGATTATTTTCTCCCCTTGCCCTGATGGAGGGTGTGATATGAAACCAGGTAGGTGCTGATTATTTGACTTAATACACAGAAGCTTGTGGGATAGTATCTGACATGTAGTGAGTGCCAGGCATCAGTCGTGGAGGTTGTGGTCGCCGCTGTGGCTCTGTTCTCAGGTGACTGTGGCACACATCTGAGTGGCGTTTGGTCTCTTCTCTCTTACTCACAGGACTGGCGTCTCTACACTGAGCCTCGTGAGATCTTTGAGGTACTGAGCTGGCTGGAGAGCTGGTACGTTCTAGGAATCAAGAAGAAGAGCTCTAGGAATTTAGAGGCTGAGGCCTAGCTTATAGGAGCAAGAGATAAGGGTATGTGTGATTGGGGGGAGGGAGGACACAAGAAGGAAAATTACTCAAGGTGGTGGCACCCAAGCCCATCCACCTGCTGTCCTTTGGGAGGGTGGGAGCAGTTGATTTAAAATATAGATAGCGGTTTCAGGCTCAGTTTCTAGCCCGAGAACTTGGACACTTCAAGTTCCCCAGTGCTTTCTGCAGGGTGCCAAGGGATGTGAGGTGCCCCTGAGCTGGCAGCAGGAGAGCTGCAGTTTCCCACCGCCTCTCTCCCTGTAGTGTGGCTGAGCAGCAGGGACGACGGCGGGGCTGGTACACCTACACAGATCTGTGTGTGCTGCTGGAGCAGCCGGCCTGGCAGCTGGCCTTGGGCTCCCTCTGCCAGAGACTGGTAAAGGTGAGGATTTGGAAAGGAGAGAGGGCTTGAGTGGGCTGGCGTGGGGGATGGGAGAGCATAAAGCAGTACTGAAAGACTCAGTACATGGAATTTGAGAGCAGATGGGTGGAGGAGGCACAGGGGGGCAGCAGAGAGCTGGAGATGAGGTTTCTGGAGATAAGGTGGGGTGTGCGTTTTTTAAAGCCAGTTAGCACTGCTTTCTTAATTTTCTCTCCTGCAGCTGTCCTGCCTGTTAGCCATGGCATACATGAGCAGTGTGGCCCTGGCTGTGGCATCGGTGGCTGTAATACACCAGTCCTTAGGGCTGTCCTGCAGCCCCTCACCTGGTCCTCCCGACCTTGGCCTGGCCTCTAAGGGTCTTTTGGAGCCCTGTATTCCTTCTTCAGTACCACAGTGCCTGATGTCTTCTAACATCTCCAGCTGCGTGGAAGGTGACGCAGGGCTGCGTTCACTCTGGGACAGTCTTCTGGCCTCGCTGACTCCCCCACCATTGCCTCCTCCAGAGCCCCCTTCCCTGCCCTCTCTTTTACATAAGTGCCCCCTTTGTCAGAAGCTCCAGAGAGACCCCCCAACCTGCCGAGCCTGTCACCACCTCAACTATACGGTACCCCCTGGGCCTCCCAGCCCCTGGTACCACACCCATGGCCTGGCTCCAACTTGGCCCTTGGGCCTGGTGGCCCCTCCGCTTCCCCAGCCCCAGCAGTGTTCCCTTTTCAGCGTGATGGAGCTGGCTCGCCTCAAGTCATTCATTTTCCCAGGCTAGGGAGGACCCCAAGGTATGCAGTGAGAGAGGATTTGGGAGTCTCTGAGAACCTGAAAGAGGGAAGCTTGATTTAGATCCTTGCTGTCTCTCTGGGTCCTTGGCTGGTCCCTGTCCTCCTGGGTAAGCGCTTAAGGGGTTGTGGGGCAGAAAGGCTGAAGGTCATTTGCTCTCCTAGATCTCAGTGGCCAGCTGCTTGGCCAGGGGAGTGATGGTGCCAGGAAAAGCTTCACTGGGTGAAAGGGGTCACAGATGACAGGAAACGCCCCATCCCTCTTTGCGCAGGGCTCTTCTAGACTTTTGCTTTTGACTTTCCTAGGATGGAAGGGTAAAAATGGAAGGTGGGGAGTGGTAAGGTAAAGGGAGGAAGTAAACAATAGTGATACAGTCCTGTGTGATGTCTGAGGCAAGAGGACCAGGGAGTGACAGGGCTCGGTGGGAGCTGCTGAGGGAAAGCAGGGTGAAGCAGGAAAGCTTTTCTATACCTATCCCATGGCTGCAGTCTTAGTGGAGCCAAGGGCTGACTTCTGGGACCTTCGACCTCGGCCTTTTGTCTTCCAGCCTTCTTAATATCCTGCTCCAAGGCTTCCCTGTCTTCTGGTTCCTCTTTGGGTATTCTCTTCCCAGGCCTTTCTGGCCACCGCTTTGTATCTGAGTTTTTCATGCTTTTGTAGAACTAAGATTTCAATAAACAGTTTCAGTTGCATGGCCTCGACTTTTCCTTCTTGTGGCAGCCCTTGAAGAGCTTTCCTCCTTACATCTGCCTTCCAAGCCTCCCCGCTTTCTCATCCTGTTGTCTTGTAAGCCTTTCTCTGAGCCCCACTTTAGAACCTCCCAGTCATTCAATAGTCATAGTTCCCATTTCGAACTTCCCCTTGGCCCTATTCCCAGCACCTTGGGCCCTGGCACTGCTCAGCTTGGGTTGCCACAGGACCCAAATGGTGACTTTTCCATGCCTGGGGGTGGCCTTGTTTGTTGTGTTTTCTGGGTGAGCATTTTCTATGGGGCCAAACCACATATCCATAGTGCTCTGAAACACCTTCAACACGAGCCCAGAGGATCCCTCTCTGCTGACCTCCCCAGACTGACGCCCAGCAGTGCTGTCATGCTCGAAAGAACACTTAAGCCAAGTCCTTACTGCAAGAATGGACTAGGCTGCCTCCCCTGGACGCTGGAGATCATCCACAGTAGGGGTGTCATTGCCCCCTGGAGGACATTTTGGAGATGTGTTGGCTGTTTTCTGTGGTCTCAAGGATTTGGGGGGATGCTGCTGGCTGGCATTTATTCAGTGTGGGCCCAATGCTAATCATCCTAAAATACTCAACACCTCCCTCACAGTGAAGGATTCTCAGGACAAATTTTGAATGACTAGCTGCTCTTGTATGTGAAAATCCTGTTTGTCTGAGCCTGGAATGACTTTTCATGTGCAAGTGTGAAACCATTTTTGCACTTTGAAAGACTGAGTTTTGTAGAAATGGTCTTTCACATAAATCTGTACTTTGTTTTGTTCTGTACTTTTTGAGGAGTTTGTTTCCTCCTTTTGGAAAATTGGATCACCAATGCCAGCCAGTACTGCTTGTTGCCAATAAAGTGCCATTTATCTTCTGCAGTTAAACATATGTGTATGGGGATTGGACTGTTGTCCTTTGGTTTATTTGCACCTAACTTTTCATTTATTGAATTAATGTGTCATAAGTTACCTGTATTTCTCCTTTACAGTGTGTAAGTATATCATGTGGTCATGGTCACTGTTACGCAGGGTCTGGGGTGTATTATTTGTGAGTTTCCTTTCAGAGTGGTCCAGGGGGCCTAAAAGACTTGAGAAGTGAGGACCTAATGAGCATAGTTCTAAATGCTGGTGGGAGGGAAAGTTTTTTTTTTTTTTTTTGTCTTTTTGAGACAGGGTCTCTATGCAGTTCAGGCTGGCCTTGAACTCTGTAGCCCAGGCTGGTCTCGAACTCGCAATGATCCTCCTGCTTCAGCCTCCTGAGTGCTGGGATTACAAGTGTGAGCCACCACACCCTGCTGGGAGGGAATGATTTACAAAATCTCCATGCTCTTTTGAGAGGCCTCTTCGCCATCCCTCTTACTTTGCAGAGCCTGGTCTAGGACCAGGGGATCTGAGTAAAGATTCGTGGGGGAGGGGTCCAGAACTCAGCTCCAGGTTAATGGCTGATGGAATTTGCACAGGAGCTGGGCAAAGGTGAAAGGGCCATATCCTGCCCCCAAACCTTCATCCCTCGCTCCGCTTCGTTAACACCTCCACTCCTTTCCCACTACGGGCAGCTAGCTTCACCCAAACTCTGACCTCTTACTCTCCCCACTTACCTCCAGCCTACAGCAGCCAAGAGAGGACAAAGGCAGGGCAGCACGAGCAGGTCTCCTCTGCATCCCATCCCCCTGCTATCTATGGGCTCCCCAGGCGTCCTGGCTCCCCTACCACCACGGCCCAGTCTCTCCTCCCATGCTTGGGCCTCTCGATGTGGGTCTCTCACCTGGGGACTCAGCTGTCTTCTGGCTCTGCAGGTAGGGTGCAGAGGTGCAGGAATTGGTGCTGGCTGAAGGGGGTGTTCGGGGGAGTTCCTGTGGCAGGAGTAACCTAGAAACAGGTATCATTGCCTGTTTCTCCCTGTTCTGCCACCTGCAGCATTTCCTGGTCCTGGCTTCCCTGCTCTGTGCCTTCCACCTGCTTCTGCTTTGCAGTCTTCCCCCAGGAGCGCCATCTTACTCCCCTGCTCAGCTCCTGGCCTCCAGCTTCTTTGCATGCGGTATGTCTACAGTCCTGCAAACCTGGACTGGCAGCAGGTGAGCGGAACTCCCCAGAGAGAGGGGCCAGGATCCCAGTGTGGAGGAGAAGCTTGGGGAGCCTTGCTGGCCCTCACATGTTTCCACACCTGCTGGGGCTGCTGTTCCTACAGGCTGCCTCTTATCCAGGCTCCATCCTTGGAGTTCATTATCCCCGCTCTGGTGCTGACCAGCCAGAAGCTGCCCATGGCCATCCAGACATCTGGAAATGGTGAATATAGAGAAGGGCAGGCAGAGGAGGGGCTGGGTGTTCAACATCTGAGTACAGGCAGATATGGGTGCAGGACTGAGGCTGGGCAGTGCTGGAACTGTCAGGTACTGTAGGCATCTTGAGGCCATGTCGGGCACCAGTCAGGATGGAGTGCAATGGTTCTCCATCCTGCTTACCTTCTCTCCATGCCCCAAACTCTTCCCAGCTTCCCTCACCATGCACCAGTGTAGGGGACCTGGCTGCCATGGCCTGGAGCTCTGGAACACTTCTCTCCGAGAGGCAAGTACCTGCATCTAGGGCAGTGCAGGCTCTGGGAGGCTCTTATTTCCCACACACAGAGACTGAGATGCTCTGGGGGAAGGAGCCAGGAGGTACTGTCCTTGGAATTTCTTAGGAAGTCTAACCTCAGATCAATTTAAGCAGAACATTTTCTCTCCATCCTCTCCTCTACCCTACCAGGTTTCTGGGGCAGTGGTGGTGTCCGGACTGCTGCAAGGCATGCTGGGACTGCTGGGGGCACCTGGCCGTGTGTTTGTCCACTGTGGACCCCTGGTGCTGGCCCCCAGCCTGTTTGTGGCAGGGCTCTCTGCCCACAGAGAGGTGGCCCAGTTGTGCTCTGCTCACTGGGGCCTGGCCGTTATGTACGTGAGTCCTTTGGGGGCATGGGATGTGCCCAGTGGAGTGTGCAACACCGGGCGGAGGGCAGAGCACTGGTCCTGTCAGATCCAGCTGCCATCTGGGCAGGGATAACACTTTCTAGATTGCGAATCCAAAGCTTTGCCTTGATTCACTCTCCTGACATTCACAATGTCTCTTGTTGTATCCACGGAGCCCCTTCCTAATCCTGCCATGTGGGAGGTGTCACCTCTGGGACCTCCCTCTACCACCGCCATTGGTCAAGACTCTGCTACCTCTTGGCCGGAACGCTCCATCTCTCTCCTAGGCTTATCCTGCTCATGGTGGTCTGTTCGCAGCACCTGGGCTCCCGCCGGGTACCCCTATGCCCTTGGAAGTCAGCCTCAACTTCTTCAGCTCACTTTCACACCCCTGCCTTCCGGTTCCTCTCGGTATGTGGGGGTCTGGGAGCTTGAGGTTAGAGCTCAGCCCCCTGCTTTAGGCTCTGCCCCACCAAGCCTGGCTCACAAGGTGCTGGGGTAGGGTGAGGCAAGAACGTGTTTCCATCTCGGTTCCGCCCCTCAGGTGCTGATCCCTGTGGCCTGTGTGTGGGTCACTGCTGTCCCTCTGGGTCTCAGCGCTGTCCCCCTGCAGCTAGCTGCTGCTGCTGAGGCACCATGGTTTTGGCTGCCTCACCCAGGTAGGTTTCCTTGCTCAAATCAAGGTATCTATTTCTTTGAGCTCAAGACTTAATGGGCTGGGTGTGGTGGCACATGCCTATAGTAACAGCATTTGGGAGGCTCAGGCAGGAGGATCATTGTGAGTTCAAGACCAGCCTGGGCTACAAAGTGAGCTCAAGGCCAGCATGAACTGCATAGCGAGATCCTGTCTCAAGGGGGGGAAAAAAGACAGTGGATTTAATGGATTTCATTTCTGAGTTAAGTCCCATGATTTCTCAAAGCACACAGGAAAGAGAAATTGCCAAGCTCAAGCTGAGGTACAATTCCAGTGCCTTATCACAGGTGTTTTATTGGAGTCAGTGTTCAGAGACAGATACTTATTATGCTCACTCCAAGGCCTCCATTTACATGTTTATGTTAGTGATCCCGGGCTGGGGATTTAGCTCAGCGGTTCAAGCACTTGCTTGGTAAGTGCAAACTCGTGAGTTTGATTCCTAGTACAAAAAACAAAAACAACAACAACAAAAAACCCCCACAAATGTTAGTGATCCCCGTGGGGTAGACTCTGTTGAAGGCATTGCATGTGAAATTTGCTCACTCATCTATTATTTGTTAGTTAATGAATTTTGGGGCATTGGGAATTGAATCTAGGACCTTTGTAGTGAGCTATATCCCTTTTAAAATTTTTTTTTCTTTTTTTTTTTTTAGACAGAGTCTTGCTAAGAGGTTAAGTTGCCTGGCTGGGCTAAAACTTGTGATCCTCCTTTCTCAGCCTCCCAGAGTGCTGGGCTTACAGAAATGTGCCAGCATGACCAGCCAGAAATTTATTCCTGATAAAGTAGTCATTGAGCTGAGATGTGAGAGATGAATAGCACTAACTGGACAGGAGGCAGGAGAGAAGAGCATTCTAGATGGAAAAACAGCACATGCAAAGGGTCTGTGGCAGCTGAAGGTACAGCAGGTCCATGGCCTAAAGACCAGTATTTGTAGAGGGAAGTAAGAGTGTGGCAGATAAACTGGAGAGAGAAGTAAAGGTCAGACCAAAGAAACTCACGTAGACATTGTTAAAAGAGTTAGGTCGGTCTTCAGTGAATCCAGTGATTTTGTCCCAAGACATTATCTTTAGATCCACTGGGGGCCTTTAGGATTCTTTTTTTTTTTTTTTGGTCTTTTTCATTTTTATCGGTACCGGAGATCGAACCCACGACCGCCTGCTTGCAAGGCAGGTGCTTATGCCGCTGAGCTAAACCCCCAGTCCTAGGATTCTTATAAAACAGCCACTGGGGGCAGAAGGAAGTGCAGAGTCAACCTCAACCTCATGCCAGACTCAACCTCAGGTGGCTCTTTCTCCCTCCCCAGGCGATTGGAACTGGCCCTTGTTGACACCCAGGGCTCTGGCTGCAGGCATTTCCATGGCCCTGGCAGCCTCTACCAGCTCCCTGGGCTGCTACGCCCTGTGCCATCAGCTGCTGCATTGGCCTCCCCCACCTGCACATGCCTGCAATCGAGGGCTGAGCCTGGAGGGGCTGGGCAGTGTGCTGGCTGGACTGCTGGGGAGCCCCCTGGGCACAGTGTCAAGCTTCCCTAATGTGGGCACAGTGAGCCTTTTCCAGGTACGTGGCCTGGGACTGGGTGGGGAACTGGATGGAGTTGCAGGGAAGGGATGGGAACTCACACTGCTTGGTGGCCAGCCATGGCCAACAGGCAGGCAGGTCACTCAATAGTCACACTTGGGGAGGCGCCCAGAAGAGGTGAGAAGGAGGCTAGGAAGACAGCAGGTCCCCAGAGCAGGCGCATCAGGTGCTCTGCCGAGGCTGGGGTTCCAGTAAAGAACAAGTCAGATGAAGTCCTGCTCTCTTGGGGACCTCACAGAGGGAAGAAAAGAAAAGAGAAATAATTTTAGAGCATGATTAAGTGCTGGTAAGAAAACAAACAGTGAGGCAGTGGCTGATTAAAGGAAGCACCTTTAGATAGAGTGGCCAGGATGCTTCTTAGAAGAACAGCATTTCAGTTGGGATCCAAGTGATGAGAAGCAGCAAAGGCCTGGAACGGTGCAGGGTGGTGGCTGTGCTTTCTGTCTTCACACAGGCTGGATCTCGGCGCGTGGCGCACTTAGTGGGGCTGCTCAGCTTGGCACTTGGCTTCTGCCCCGGGCTGGTGCAGCTCCTCACCACCATCCCACTGCCTGTGCTTGGTAAGTGCACAGATGGTGGGCCTGGGTTCTCTGCACCTCCATGCAGTGGGGTCCAGGTGGTTGGACTGGTACCCTTTCTCACTAAAAGACCTCCCCGGATGAAAGAATACACACATGGTCTGCTGGCCTCACTTTCTCAACCTGACATCGTGGCCTCTTGACTGGGCTTTTGGCAGAATCATTGGTGCCTGCATCACAGTCTGCCTTCTTTGCCTTCCCTGCAGTCCCTGTGCCATGCTGTACCCTACACCCTTGATTTCTCCTATCCGAGACAGGTGGGGTGCTGGGGGTGACCCAGGCTGTGGTTCTGTCTGCCGGCTTCTCCAGCTTCCATCTGACTGACATTGACTCTGGCCGCAATGTCTTCATTATGGGCTTCTCCATCTTCATGGCCCTGCTGCTGCCCAGGTGGCTTCGGGAAGCCCCAGTCCTCCTCAGCACAGGTGGGTGGGGAGGAAAGAAAAGAGGCGCTCAGTAGTGGGAAAGCAAGGGGTTGAGGCTTCAGGCTTTCCAGATTTTTGGACCCACATCCTTCTCTAAGTTTTAGTATAAATAGTACATCATTTGTTTAAAAAACTTTGAGTGCCGTTCTAGCTACTTGGAGTACAAAGGTGCTTCATAGGTATTAGAGTCTAGCAAAAGAGATGAAGTCTATAGGAAAACATAGCAACAGAGGAATTAGTAAGGAGCTGTGGTGTTCACTGGTAAGAGAAATGCCTTCTGTTTGAGGTGACCCAATAACACTGAACTGGCCCTTACCAGTAGTCAGGAGGCTGAGGCAGGAGGATCACCATGAGTTTGAGGCCTGGGCTACATAGTGAGTTCAGGGCCAGCTTGAACTGCATGGTAAGACCCTGTCTCAAAAAACCAAATAGATAAAAATAAATAAATGTTTAAAAAAATTAAAAGGTAAAATTAAAGATTTTTGTGAGAAGGTGGTTATTTTTGATGGATTATAAAAGATGGAAAAGTAGAAGTCATAGGATATCTCCAGAGAGCAGCAAATACCTCAGTTTGTCAAGAGCAGTTTTCAAATGGATGTGATTTTTGCTTCCATAGGAGATGTCCTGCTGTGTCTGAAGACATTGTTTTGGGTTACAAATAGGGAAGAAAGCCAGGCATGGTGTCACATGCTCATAATTACAGAACTCTAAGGCTGAGTGAGGTAGGAGGATTGCTGCAAGTTCGAGGCAAGCCTGAATTACATGGCAAAACCTTGTCTCAAAAACTGGCCCCCTGCAAAAAACAAAACAAAACAACAAACCAGGAGGGGAGGGAAGGGAGGAGTGTTACTGGAATTTAGTAAGTAAAGAGATGTTGCTAAATATCTTACAATGCACAGGACAGCCCCTTAGGACAAAGAGTTTCAAAACGTCAGTAGTACTGAGGTTGAGAGACTCCTGCTATGGCATAGAAGTTAAGAAGGGTTGGGCTTTTATTTTTTTATTTAGTGGTATTAAGGATTGAACTTAGAGCCTTCAGGCTAAAATACACCCCCATCTCTTTTTACTTAGTCTCATGGACTAAGTTGCCTGGTCTAGGCTTGAGTTTTGGATCCTTCTGTCTCAGGCTCTTAGAGGTTGTAGGTGTGTACCACCATGTCAGGCTAAATCAGTGATTTTAATATCAAACTTTCTAGAGAAAAGGAAACGAACGAAGTATATCAGGAAGACATGTGGGTGCTCAGAAGATAAGATGATGAATAGGAATCTCATGGGAATGGCTTGAGTGTGATGCAGAATAGTGGGACAAAGGAAAGGAAGACAGAATGACAACTCAGAAAGCTCTGTCCTTAGTCTGAGACTTGGGTTTAGATTTGGAAGGACAGACTTCCTGACTTCCGTTAGCCTCAGAGCTGCCTTTCTGCTTGGTCCCGACACCCTGTAGGCTGGAGCCCCTCGGATGTGTTACTTCGCTCACTGCTAGCACAGCCCATCTTTATGGCTGGACTCCTGAGTTTCCTCCTGGAGAACACAGTTTCTGGTAAGTTGAGGCCAGCTCCTAGCAGACTGGGGAGTGTCAGAAAGTCACACTCCCTGGGTTAGCCACTGACTGTCCTTTCTTGTAGGTTCATGGCTTGAGCGAGGCCTCAGTCAAGGACTGCCATCTTCTCTCCCTGCCCAAGAAGTTCAAAAGCCTCAGAAGTCCACGGAAAAGGCTGTGCAAGAGTATGGGCTTCCTGACCCTATCCAAAGCCTGTGTTCCCGCATCCCCCAGCCCCTCCGTTGCTTCTGCCCAATGCCCGAAGACCCTGTGGATTTAGAAGCAGGACCCTCTGAGCCAGGAGAGACAGCAGACTTATTGCCTGGCTCTGGGGAGCCCTGCCTTGCCGCTAGCACAGAAGGGCTTAGGTCCTTGTAATTACCAGGAGTCTTATTTCTGCCCTGTTAGTTTAGCCCTAATTTGCAGCTTGCTGGAGAGTCAGTGCCCTGGCTCTACTTTGTCCTGGAGAGAGGGGTGTATATAACTTCTGTATATGTGTGTGTACACACCATTGGCCCACTTAGAGACCCCATTCCCAACAGGACTGGGTCATCTTTCCTCCCACACAGCAGGGGACATGGTTTAGTGGTCACGAATGAATGAATGAAGTTTTTCCTGGAAACTATCAGTGCCACTTGACCTAGCATTCACTTAACAAATATTTATTTATATGGGTATGACAGGGTCCCTATCCTCATCAGCCACTTAGGATTTAAAAAGACCTTTGTAATAAGTAAAATGCACCACAGAAGGCACTGTGTAATAAAGATGGAAATTATGCCATGAGAGCTGAGGAAGAAGCGATTCATTTTGATAGGGGAAAGTGGGAAATGCTTTATGTTTTTGTTGTTGTTACCGGGGATCAAACTTATGACCTCGCACTTGCCAGGTAAGCGCAGGGCTAAATCCGGAGTTCCTGGAAATGCTTTATGAAAGTCACAACACTGAGGATAGCCTTGACAAGGGAGAATTTGGGTTTTTGTAAAATGGATGGGGAGAAATTTTTTAGGCTCAGAGATCCAGCTTGAGAAAAATCATGAGTTGTGTAAACTACAAGGAGTAGGGGGGGTTCTGAGTCTCAGCAGTGAGACATCGTAAGAATGGAGGCACAAGGAGGGAGAAATAGGTGCGAGTCTAGAGGTAGTGAGGATCCTAGACATTATACAGGGAAACTCAATCCTTTCACTGAAAAGGCTAGACCCTTAGAGGAGGAGAGAGAAGTCACTTGAATTTGACAAACTCTAACCCGGGTAAGTCTGTTCAACATCTCGTCCGTCTACCTCCTTTGCTAGGTGTCTCCGGGAAGCGCCTCTCCTGTTGAGCTTCCCTGTGAGCCCGCGCACCTCTTCTAGCTCACAGGGGAGTGCAGCTCCCCAACTCTGCTTGCGCAGTGATTTCCAGCAGCTCTGTGGTTCCTGAAGCTCCGCCCACACCCGGCCTGGACCCCGCCCCCCGCAGCTCAAGGCTCCGCCCCGTGGGGGGAGATTGGCCTGTATTCTAGGCTTCTCAGTTTGAGCACGTGGGCCTGCTGCGAGGAGGGTGGGGATTTTCTTGGCTGCTGACGGTAGGTGGGTCAGGCTTGTATGGGGTCAGGACCAGGGCCGGGCTGAGCACCGAGGAGTTGTGCGTAGCCGGTGGGTCGGGCCGGCGCGGATATTTCCTCCCAGAAGGGACCGCGCGCTACTGGGGTTTGTGGGGCCGACCGACCTCGGGAGGGGGCGGGGCCGCGCGTGCGCAGTCCGCTTCTGGAGCCTGCGAGGCGCGCGGGCTTCAGTGGGACTTTTCTTGGGTGCATAGCTCGTGGTGGTGGTCGTCTTTGTTACACCTCAGCTGCCTCTTGGTGCGGCCAATGCTGTAGAAGTGAAAAGGCGGACGGCGAGGCTTTTCTAGGGAAGGCAGATGGAAACTGGACGCTGGGCGCGGCTCCGGTGTCCGTGTACTGTGGTAGTGGACCGAAGCTTCGTTTCCGTCCAGGCGTGGCCCATCCTGGACGGTGTCTAGGGCTTTGCTGCCCTCTTCAGGGGTTGGGGAACAGCCACAAGAGGCGGAGCGGTAGCTCTTGGTGCAAATACCATTTCTCGGGGAACTCCATGCCTGCTGTTGCCCTTCGCGTGCCGGTTTTTCAGGAATCCTAGAACTTGGCGCATGTGGTTAACGTGAATGGTAAAGGCAGTCTTGAACGCAAAAAGTGAAATTTAAAGGCCTCAGATTTAGAACGGACTTTAGAAGTCAGAACGGGGTGGAAGCAACCAGCCTGGGTCTGGTGCTGAATTTTGCAGACGGTTATCGCGGTACTGGCGATTGAACCCAGGACATTTGCGTTCTTATTTTGAAACAAGGTCTTTTTTTTTTTTTTTTTTTAAAGCCAGTCAAATTTAGCAGTGTGTGGGGGGTTGGTATACCAACTTTAGGGACACTAATGTTAATAAGTTCTGATAAAAACAAGGTCTTTCAAAGTCACCAAGTTGCCCAATCTTGGTTTGAATTTGGAATCTTCTGCCTTAGCCTCCCAGAATACTGCGATTACAGGTGTCAGCCACAACCCTCGGCCTTTTGGAACTTTTCATACCATTTTCCTCTGGCAAAAGTTTCAACTACTCTCTTCCCCTAAATGAAAGCCATCAGTTTGAGGATTCTAACCTTTAATACTTTCCCAAAAGAGGGGCTAGGATAAACCTCTCAGGGCACCCTGGAGAGCGCCTTTGAGGGAAATGAAAGGGTTTGGCAGCTTCATTTACTGTGTGATCTTTGGCAGTGAGGAGCTTTTGTCTAGGGAAGACTAGTCTAGCTGCCACTTCCACCGTGTAGGAACAGTGTGTGTGAAATGTAACGGAAATGCCATCCCCAAACCAAGGTTTGGAGGCAGCAGCAAGTGACAACCAGCACGGTGTCACTTAAGATGGAGCTGTTTCTCCTTGTATGGATTCCAGAGCAAGTGAACGTACTAGTTGCACAGTGCAAAACTATTTAATCGCTCCACTTGGGGAGAATGGGAATTATTTTACCAGAGTCATAACCTGCCTACGTATGAGCAGAAACACATCCCATAGATCTGCATAAAGTTGTTTTTAGTTGCCAAAGGAAGACAGTAAAAGGGAGAACTGTCAGTATGGGCGCACATAGAGTATGTGATGCAAACTAAGACAGTTGTATCACTGGACGATACAGTCTGTGGGATGACTCTTGTCTATGCAGTGTTCTTATTGGCTGAAATACCGTCATGCTGCACATCTTTGTGTGTATTTCAGCTGTCTAGTCACAAGTCAGTAGTCACTAATTACAAAATATCAGAAGGCCACACCTTCAAAACTAGGTTATAGTTGGAAGAACAATAGTTTAGACTGATTTAGAAATGATTGCATTAATCAGACTTAATTTCATTATCTTTATATCCTAAATTTTCACCTTTTGGTACTTTGCTTCATTTTTGTGTATTGACGAAAATAATGAAAGAAATTATATGTTATTGTTTTTAACCCACAGGAAAAATAATCCAATTGTCAAGCAGCCCTAGTTACTGAATATTTATTAGGTTAAAACTGCTAGGGTAGCAGTTCAAGCAGAAAATTTTCCAGAAGTTTCTAGCTGCATAGAGGACATGTTATCATTGGTGGCTGTGCCCTGAGGTGGGGACATGAAGGATAAAAGTTAATTCTCTTCCTCTTTATGTGTTGTACTTTATGTTTATGACTTTTTGGTCATTTGCTGAAAGAGGATTTGGGTTTTCATTTGCTTCTGGCTGCAGAATTTACTAGCTTGTGTGTGTGTGTGTGTGTGTGTGTGTGTGTGTGTGATTCATCCTTTTAAGAATTTGGTGGGGCTGGAGACTTAGCTTAGTGGTATAAGTGCTTTCCTGGCAAGCTCAAGATTGAGAGTTCGCTCTCTCCTCCCACTGTACTTACCCCCAAAGAGAAAAGAAAAACAGAAATTAGTGAAAACTGGATGTGGTGGCACACACCTGTAATCCTAGCCCCCTGGAAGGCTGAGGCAGGAGAATCACCATGAGTTTGAGGCCAGACTGGGTTACATAACAAGTCCAAGACCAGCCTGGATTGCATAGCAAGACCCTGGTTTTTTGTTTATTTGTTTGTTTTGGAAGACCCTGTTTTTAAAAAATAAAACCAGGGCTGGAGATTTAGCTCAGTGGCATACACGCCTGTCTGGTGAGTGCCAAACCAAAAGATCAGCAGGAAAAAAAAAAAAACCTAGACAAAACAAAACAAAAGAATTTGGTGACAGCCATGAATCTCTGATGTATATGCATATATGCACAAAACTTTTCTCTTCCCTTCCCTTCCCTTCTCTTCCCTTCCCTTCCCTTCCCTTCTGGTCCTTTCCTTTCTCCTTCCTTCCTTTCCTGGGGATTGAACTCAGGGCCTTTATTGAACTACAGCTATAGCTATTTTGTTGTTATTGTTTTTTGAGACACTATCTCTTATGTAGTTTGGGCTGGCCTTGAACTCAGTATGTATACCAGACTGGCCTCTAACTTACAGAAATCTACTTGCCTCAGCCTTCCAAGTGCTGGGATTACAGGTGTGTGCCACCATGATATCCACAACCATTGTTATTTTATAATTTGAGACAGGGTCTTGCTAAATTGCCCCGGCTGGGTTCAAACTCTCAATCCTCCTACTTTAGACTGTCAGAGAGCTGGGATTATAGGTGTGCACCACCGTGCCTGGTGAAATATATATATATATATATATATATATATATACATACATATACACATATATATATATACGTATATATATTCATATATATATTCTATTTTCTCCTTTCCTCCCTCTCCTCCCCTCCCTTTCCTTTCCCTCATTACTAGAGGTTAAATGGTTAAATCCAGGGTATTAACACTAATCTATATCACCAGCTCTTTTATCTTTTATTTTGAGATGTAGTCTAAATTGCCTGGGCTAGGCTCAAATTTCTGATCCTTTTGTTTCAGCCTCCCAGAGTACTGGGATGCACCTCCATGTGCGCAGCCAAAAAAGAGATACTTTATTATTTTTGTTTGTTTGTTTGTTTTGTCTTTTTTTCCTCTCTCTGTTTTTGTTTTTGTTTTTTGAGACAGGGTTTTGATGTGTGGTTTACGCTGGCCTTGAGCTCACTTTGTAGCCCACGCTGGTATCAAACTTGCAACAATCCTCCTGCCTCAGCCTGCCAAGTGCTGGGATTACAGACCTGTGCCAACACACTAGGCTAAGAGGTATTTTATTTTCTTTTAATGTGGAAAAAACATGAGTGGCCAGTATTGGTGCTCCACTGGTTTGAAAAAGGGGAGACTCTGACTCCATACTTTCTGTATTATCAAGGAGAATTTTCACAAGACCTTAGCCATAGGGTTGTCTGTGTGATGCCCTCCCAAGCCTGTTGTCCTGGAGACACTTTGCTGAATTAGACTTTTCCTGCAGATGGAGGAACTAGAACAAGGCCTGTTGGTGCAGCCATGGGCATGGCTGCAGCTCCCTGAGAACTCCCTCCTGGCCAAGGCTTATGTCACCAAGCAGGGCTATGCCTTGCTGCTTTCAGATCTTCAACAGGTGTGGCACGAACGGATGGATACTGGTGAGGTGAGCCAGCGAGCCAAGGTAAGTGTGAGAAGAAGCAGTGCTGTGGGGTGGGGTGGGGTAGGATTCTTTCTGAGCAAGGGCCAGAGGCATTGACATCAACCAGCTTGATTGCCTGCAAGTTGGCAAGGAAAGATTGGATTGGACTGGCACAATTCCACTTAACAACCTGAATTCCAAAATGTTACAAAATGGAAAATTTTTAAGACTTAGCACTCAAAAAGTTTCAAATTTTGGAGCATTCAGGTTTTAGATTTTGGGAATAGGATTGATCGGCTGGTACAATCTATGCATATATTCCAAAATCCAGAAAACTCTGAAATCCAAAGCACTTTTGGTCCCAAGTGTTTCAGATAGGGGATATTCAGCCTGTCAAGTCTTACACTTCTACTTGCAGACCTAGGATCTTTTCCAGTGTATGTGTGACAAAGCATAATGTGAGCTTTATTACTTACTTATACAGACCTTCTGTAAATTGATCTTGCCAAGATAGAATTGTGAAGTACGTCAGTTATCTATCTTTGTGATTCCTTCTTTCCTGTTCTGATGTTTTTCTCTGCCTCTTGTCCTTTCATGTCCACATTAACCAGGGCCTTTCTTTGTTGTTGCTCGCCAGCAGTCAGTTTCTTTTAGCACCCTCATTGTGTACAAATGCTCTCTCTTTAGGAGCTGAACAAGCGCCTGACCGCACCCTCTGCAGCTTTCCTCTCTCATTTGGATAATCTGCTTCGTCCTTTGTTGAAAGATGGTATCCAGCCTGACGAAGCTGCCTTCTCCTGTGAGCGTGTGGCAGAGGCACTGATCCTCCGGGTGCGGAGCGAGCTCTCCGGTCTCCCCTTCTATTGGCACTTCCACTGCAGCCTGGCTAGTCCTTCCGTGGTAAGTGCAGTTCAGAGAGAGGGCAGAATTGCTGCTTGAGAAGAAGCCTATTTGCAGTTGTTCTCCAATGAGAAAACTGTCCTTGACTATGCAGGATACAAAAGGATTCTTGACTGGTATATCCTTTCTTTGCAAAGGCACAGAGTTTGAATCTACATACTTTGTTAGATGACTCTATTCATTAATTTATTTACTGACATTTATGAAGCATCAGCCATATGCTAATTTTTGGGCATCCTGACATGAAATAATGTGGTCTCTTCCTGGAGTTTATAACCTAGTAAGGTGGCATATGGGAAATTCTGATTTAGTGTGCTAAGTTCCTTCACTGAGGAAGGCCCATGCCGGCTAGAGGAACAGAGAAAACCTCTGAATAGTTTCTCTCTTTCTTTCTTTCTTTTTTGTTTTTGAGACAGTCTCATCACATAGCCCAGGTTGATCTCAAACCTACCATCTTCCTGCCTCAGCCTTCCAAGTGCTGGAATTACAGGCATATAGTACCATGCATGGCTTGAGGAGAGAATTTCTGAGCTAAGTTTTGACAATGAGTAGAAATTAGTTGGGAGAAAATAAAGAGAAGAATCATTGTAGGCAACAAGCTTGGAGGTGTGTAAGTATAGGACAAATTCAGAAACTTCACTACAGAACAGGTAGGAAGACATGAGCTATGAGGTAGGAGGTGGCCAGGTCATGAAGGATTCAGTGAATTTGGATTTTATCTCACAAGCAATAGAGATTCACTGAAAAATTTAAAGCAGGGGTTTAACGTGATCCAATTTGTGTTTCTCAAAAACACTGGGGAAAAAAAAAACAGGGAGAAAAGAACATGGTAGCAGCAGGAGGCAGGGATGTGTGCCAGTGACTCTAAGCATTGTCCCATCTTGTGGTCCTTGTGACTTTCCTGCAAGGTGTTTATTACTATCATCATTTTTCCAAGCAAAGTGACATTGAAGGTAGCTTTGTCCAAAGTCATCTTGTTTATAAATGAATGAGCTGAATTCGAGCTCTGGCTTGGTCTAGTCTGAAAGCCCATGCTCAGGGATTAGGAGGATCATGTCTTGTACTGACTTATAGCTTTAGTGCCCAGGTGCTTTTATGAGAACCGAAGAGTGGGAACTGTGAAATAGTTTCAGGATGTAGCGCTTAGAGGCCAGAAGTCTCTGTGGGAGCCTAGGGGTCCGGATTTATCAGCAGACAGGGCTATAGAAAGTGACCATCTTTTCCAAGATCCTGTCTTCAGGTCCTTTGGCATCTCTGCATGAAACAAAGAATGGGACAGAGGACCTGTAGAGAAACTATTTGCTGGTGCTTATTTTTATCTGAAACCTCATGGAGGTAGATTAGAATGCTGAGGGAACTACTGCTCATTCATTCTGAACTCCTAAGGCCTGTCCCCAGTGCCTGGCATAGAGTCGTTTGTTAATTTTAATTGATTTAATTTGTCATAAAATCTTTCATCCTGCTTTTTTTTTCATTTTGCTTTTGATAGAGAATTTCACTCTAAATCCCTAGGACTCTTTCTAAGTGACACTAGGGGGCACTATTCCCCTAGTAATGTTTATTCTAAGCTGCACACCTTGGGCAGCTTTTGGGAATCCCTGGTAGTGGAGAGTCTCATTTTACAGCACACAGCTGTAGAAATTCCAAATACTGTGACTGCAGAGGCATCTCTCAATGAAATCTAAAATTTCTTCTTTGAAAAGAATAATAGTGTGCTGAGAGTGTCTTAAGCATAGAGTACTTGGCTAGTATGTGTCAGGTCCTGGGTTTGATCTCCAGCACTGAAAAGAGAAATATAGTAGAGAGTACTTGTATAATAATATTTTTCATAAAATAATGTTTTGTATTTACTTATTTTTTTTGGAGCAGGGCCTCTTTATGCAATTCAGGCTGGGCTTAAACTAATTCTCTTGCCTCAGCCTCCCGAATACTGGGATTACAGGCGTGCACCACCATTCCTGGCTGTATAATAAGTTACAGTTGAAGAGCAGTGTAAAGTAAGACTCGCTGCTCTGCTGCATTCTTCTAAGTGAGGAGCTATCATAAGGCAAGTTGCAGAAGTATTTAGAGAAGGATGAGTCTTGATTGGCCATGGGAAGGCAATGGCTTTGAAAGTTACTGTCCTTTGAATGAAAATAAAATACTTATCATTAAAAAAGGAAGACTGTCATGCTAGGGAAACCCCAAAGCCAAGGAAGCTTTGTGGGAAAAAGTTAGAGCCCTGAACACTGGGGAGGATGTAGGCGGATACTATTTCAGCTTGTGTATGTGTCTGTGAAATCACACTGTTATAATTTTTGTTTGTTTCTCATTCTTGTCATAGTTTTCATTACTTTTTTTTTCTGAATGGGCAATTCCTGCCAAAGGCAAACATTTCAGACAGCATTTAAAGGTATACAGTGAAAAAACCAGATCTTTTTGTTTGCTTCTGTAGTCTCTCATTTTCCTTCTCTAGAGCAACTGTAATACCTGCTTTGTGTGGCTTCTTAAAACAAGTTATGTACAGGGTGTGTCTATGTGTGAGTTAGGAGGCTGGGCTTGGTGGCACATGCCTGTATTCCCAGCTCTTGGGAAGCTGAGCCAGGAGGATCGCTGTGAATTTGAAGCCAGCCTGGGCTACAAAGTGAGTTCAAGACCAGCCTGAACTACATAGTGAAACCCTGTCTCAAAAAGACCAAAAAAAAAAAAAAAAAAGTGACTTAGGCATAAACTCAAACAATCAAACACATATCTACATATACATACCTAGTTTTACATATGGTCTCATGTTGTACCCACTGCCCTGTGCCTTGTCTTTTCTACTTATAGAGTTTAGAGATCATTCATATCAATATATTCACAAGACCTACGTTAACATCTTTAGTAGCAACATGGTATTTTATGTAATGGTTGTATTAATATGTATTAATTGTTCTCCTTTGTGTGCTAAATAGTAATTACCCTGGTGTTCACTTCTATGTGTAAAAGTGGGGATAAATTCCTGGAAGTTAACATCGAGGGCAAGAAATGTTTGTGTCTTTAATGTGTTCACTTTGTCCCACATTATCTTTTGGAGACATTCGCAGTTAACTCTATATGGGTTAATAGGAAAATATGTGCTTCCCCACAGCTTCTACCACATAGTGTATGCATATTCTGAGTTTAATGGTTAAGTCTCTGCATGATATTAAGAGATGTATAAGGTTTTGAGTCTCTGGGTCTCTGCTCTTTTTGTTTGCCTATTTTTGAGAAGGGTTTGGTTACACTATGTAGTCCAGGCTGGCTTTGACCTCACTGTGTATAGCACAGGCTGGCCCTAGATTTCGTGATCCTTTCAAGTGCTGGGAAGTAGGAGTCTCTGTTTGATACCTCTGAGCCCATTTTGACTTCTCTTCATCTATTCTTCCTTCCTATTGTCCGATCTTTCTAAGTATCTACTATAATTTTTGATTTTCCATGTTTTGACTTTCAAATTTGTCACTCTGTTGGCTTATTTTTTTTTGTCTTTTTGAGACAGGGTCTCGCTATGCAGTTCAGGCTGGCCTTGAGCTCACTTTGTAGGCCAGGCTGGTCTCGAACTAGCAACAATCCTCCTGCCTCAGCCTTCTGAGTGCTGGGAATTACAGGCGTGAGCCACCACGCCCGGCTTTGTTGGCTGCTTTTTGATATCTAGGAATTACATCCCAGATTCCTCAGTGGTAGAATGATCTCAGGCTTGGAACTGGCAGACCTGATTTTGTAATTAGCCCCACTACTTTGAGACTTTTACTGCCTTGGATACCTATGGAAGCTTTACAATTCAGTCTCTTCACCTGTGAAATGGAGATACCACTTACAACCTTACTATGGACTTACAAGGATTAAATAAGGGTATTTGTAACATTATAATTATAGTGGAATTGCAACCTTCCAGCTCCCTGTTATTTCTTTTTGAAAGAGAAAAGGTCCTTGAGAGTGGTTGGGGTGAAGCCCTTTTCATATCAAGGTGCTTCCAGAGCCAGGACTAAATCTGTTGCTTAATCGCAGCCCATTCTCCTGTTCCACTGCGTCAGTCGATATAATTCATCTGGGGATCTATAACTGCTGTTCTGTCTCCTGCCAAAGATGTGAACATTTCTATGGGAAATCAGAAGATTTGGGGGGAAGCTGTGTTTTCTTTGGAAAAGACTGAAAGTGCTGCTGCTTTATCCGCAGTACTTTCTGACCCCTGTAACCGTTGTGGCTCTTTGAGGATCAGGGTCTCAGAGCACATATTAATTGCTCAGTAGGTGTGGGTCAAACTGACTTGGGGACTGTGTTGCATCTTTTGCTAGCTGTCCTGGGGACCTGCTGCCCTAGAACTCTCTCGGGATAGTACAAGGTTGGGATATGCTGTGTGACAGAAAGAAGTGGCAAGAAGCTACTCCTGGACTCCATTTCAGGGTTTCTACTGTGTGCCAGCACCCTGTGTTTCTTGGGTCCTGGTGCTGGTACAAAAGTTGCTGGCGCCAGCCCCATCTCTCAGCCCACCTCCTCCTATCCAGTCTTTTCTAGATAAATGTGATAAAAAGTCTTTTCCTTTCCTGATCCTGATCCAGATGAGTGTGGCTTCCACACCTTATGGGACATTTCAGTCCCTTCCTTCAAATCCCTTGGGGTGTCTTGGCACCTTTTTTGATCTAGGGCAGGGGTTGGCGTACTGTGGCCAGCGGGCCACATCTGGCTCACTGCCTGTTTTTGTAAAGTTGTGTTGGAACACAGCCACCTCACTTGTTTACATATTGTCTGTGGCTGCCTTCGCGTGCCACAAGAGCAACATTGAGTAGTTGCAGCGGGGACTATATGGGTCACAGAGCTGAAAATATTGACTTTCTGACTCGTTCTGAAGACAGCCTGCTGATGCTCATCTAGGGCTTTTCTTAGTGTCTGCTTTAGTTCATCTCCTTGGGGGAAGGGAAAAGAGCTCTGATAACATCCCCTAGCCATAGACAGGCTGTTGATTTTAGTTCTTTTCTTTGTGAGGCTAATGAGTACATTACATGGGTGAATGAAATGATTATCCATTGTCTGATAGCATTGCCCTGGCTGCTCTGTAGTGTGGCTCTCCTTGTAATTCTTTTTTTTTTTTTTTTAAGTTTTTTTTCTTATCAGTACCGGGGATCGAACTCGAGACCACCTGCCTGCAGGGCAGGTGGTTACACCGCTGAGCTAAATCTCCAGCCCCTCTCCTTGTATTCTTAATGCTTGTTAAAAGTAAGGTTTGTATGGGGCCTGCTTTATTTCTTCCTAGGCTACTCTCTTGGTAACTGGCTTGGTCCTATTGCAACAGTAATTGGAGAATTTGCTACATGGGTGGGAGCAGCTGAATCTTGGGGCTCATTTGGTGCTATCATCAGCTCTGAAATGGCTTTTAATAAATGTCTGAATCTAAGTTAACTTCCAACACTACTTTCTGTTGACTTCTCCCTTCAGTTATGCTGCTAAAATACTCTGGATTAGCTGTATCTACCTTCTTGAAGGTTACTTAGGTTTGCTTTTATCTCTCAGCATCTCTTGAGGGTTGTATCAACATTTTCCTCTTCTTAACTGTGTCACTTCTGTCTCTTTACATCACAGTTCTGTATCCATACTTTCTTTGGACCATACAGAAAATCTTTGAGCCTCTTTAATGTTAATATACTTAATTATTACATTAGAATTTATGTTCATGTGAATGGACTGCTTGCCTGTGAAACTGTAAGCTCCTGTGACAACATTTATTCTTAAGTATTTTTTTATTTCCTCCTACCTAATGCTGAGTTAGGGAGTACTTTATGAGAATCTGTTGGCTAACTGAAATCTCTTCTCCGTCGTAGGTCTCCCAACATTTGATCCGTCCTCTGATGGGCATGAGTCTGGCATTGCAGTGCCAGGTGAGGGAGCTAGCAACATTGCTTCGGATGAAAGATCTAGAGATCCAGGACTACCAGGAGAGTGGGGCTACACTGAGCAGAGGTGAGGGGACATTCTTGGGGGAATTGAGTGGGGAGGGGAGCAGGTAGAAAAGCTGGAGGCTCATTTGCATTTGAAAAGTGCTTCCCCCAGGGTGGGTGCTGGGTACTGACTAGGAACTAGAGGCAGGACACTAAATGCCACTTCTCTGGCTGGAGTACCTGGCGGGGCCCCAAGTGGCAGTAGAAGCTATAAGACTCCAGACGTGTCCTAGGCAATGACAAGGAAAGACTGGAAAAGGGCCAACAGCTATCCTAAATTGTACTAGGGCAACATGAACTTGGGAGTGTATAAGGTTGCATAGCTCCAACTTGAGTCTAAAAATTCCTTTTGACCTTTATCTTTGTGGCAGGAAAATCTCTTACAACAGATGCTGTTCCTGACCTGCCATTTGTTGCCAGCTGCCCTCTCTTCCTCCTGTTGGCCCACATTCTCTCCCATTTTCTTCTCCCATGAGGTTAGGGCTGTCTGCAGGTTGCATCTTTCTACTCTTCCCCAAGGAATCCTGGGCTCTGCCCTTTGCATCTCACAGGCAGGAGGCCTATCTTCAAACTCATATTTCTTCTCCATCCTTCTTATTATAGGTCGGTTGAAGACTGAGCCATTTGAAGAAAATTGTTTCTTGGACAAATTTTTGGTAGAGGTAACATATTTATTTTCTTTCCTTTTCTACAAATCAGAGCACTCAAAAGTACCTGGGTGTGACTTGCACTTTGGGTACTTGGTAACTTGTGTGATCCAAAAGTCTCTTGGAAAAGCTGCCTATGGAACGCCTGATGAAAGTCCCTTGAAAAAGCTGCCTATAGAAAGCCTAATAAGTATGAGATGTACAGGAAAACAGAGGAAGGAAGGGGGAAAGAGTCCCTTCAGCATCCAGTGCAGAGGAAGGTACAAAGCTCAGGACTGTCTTGTGCGCACCGCAGGGTGTGGAAAATCACAGTGTTTATGCAAGGGCACTGGCAGAGGAATGAATGGGGAGTAGATAATTGTGGCCTGTCACACACTTCTGCCTAGGTTTCCCTTCTAAGGATTGAGCTTGGCCAACAGAAATATCTACTGAAGCCAAAGAGTGGGAGTATTAATAATAGTGACCTTTGATAATACCAGTCAATATTGATTTTGCCTTCTCTACCTCTTTTGGGACTTGTTGGTTATATAGTTAGTACCTTAGTATTATTGCCCCATTTTCTAATTTTACATGTTACCCAAGTTGGTACTTTCTTATGTAAGTAAATGATGCTACTATAATATTGTGTCACATGTTATTTGTATTTCTTTTGTTTTTAAAATTAAATTTAATTAATTGGTTTATTTTTGAGCAGGATCTCACTATGTGGCCCATGCTGGCCTCAAACTCACTAGTCCTCCTGCCTCAGCCTCCTGAGTGTTGGGATTACAGGCAGGTTATTCTTTTTTCTGTCTTGTCCTCTACACTTACTTTAAGCTTCTCATGGACAAGGTTTGTGTTTTGTACCCAGATTAGCACTTTTCAGAGGGCTAGGCATTAAGCAGGTGTTCTTGATTTGGAAAACTTCTCCCCCTGCCCTGAGCTAGCATTGTCAGGGCGTCCTGCTAAGGGCAAAATGTGTGAGGTGAGTCTCTGTCCACGTACTGAAGCCACTGTAACTCTGGCAGAGAAGGAAGTGGGTATTGCTAAGTCCTGAAGCAAGTCTTTAGGAGGTACCAAGTCTTTAGGAGGGGAAGAGGGTTTTAAGCCAGAACTGTGACTCTTTTCTCTCACATAGCTCCTTGCATCTCTAAACTTCAGCATTAAGGGAGGTGACACAGCAGCCCCGGGCTGACACATCAGTGTCCTGCCTCGGCCCCTTTGTAAAAGCAGTGCTAGGTTACTTCTTACCCCTATCTGCTGATCCAGCACCTCCTGCCTATCTGACTTCCCTTCACTTCTGGACTTTTCTTTCTGTCTTTTTGCTTCAGCTACATGAAGTAACTTCTAATTTCTCCAAAGCTGTTTTCTCTTGCCTCTAGGTCTTTGTATACATTCTTTCCTTTATCTTGAGTGTTCAAGGCCCTGGCCTTATCTACCTCGTAAACTTTTTTTTGCAAGGTACTGGGGGTTGAACTCAGGAAGTGCTGAGCTACATCTCCAGCCATTCCTACTTTTTATTTTGAGACAGCATCTTGCTAAGTTCTCCAAGTGGGACTCAAATTTGTGATCTTCCTGCTTTGGCCTTCCAGGTATCTGGGATTACAGGTGCACACCACTGCACTTGCTTCTATTTGTCTTGTGATACTAGCTTTAGTTTCTGTGGGAGAGCTTTTTGGACTTTGCTTGTAAAGATAATCTTTCATCCCTGCTATTGTAACTTGGTTTATACCTCTGTTTTATTACTTGAGACACTGTGGTATCCTGTTTTTATGTCTGCAAGACCACAGCTTTTCTTCTATACTAATGTATGGAATCTTAGCAAGGAGTATGTTAAATGCATTCTGTATGCCCAGCAAGGACTGGTCAGAACAGGTAAATGTGTGCATGAATATTTTGATAAATCTGTTTAGGGCAGTTTAGTGAAAAATTGTGGTCATGTGACTTGTTGATAAATTGTTGCTTGTTAGATCTGTGTTCGAGGACTTCTCTTATTCTCATGGTTTACTTTACAGCTTTGGAAAAAAGCACTTCTCTCAGAGCCACTATTTTCTCATTTGTAAAACTGGTGGCTCATCATCTTCATGCTGTTGGGAGGGGAGGACCCAGCAGAATGCAATGAGGAGGTGTATAGAACCCAGGTGCTAGCCAAGGGTGAGTGTTGGTGTTTTAGGATTATTTCAACAGCTCTGGTCCTCCAGGTTCCAAGTGTAGAATTTTATAATACTTGGAAAGGATCTGAGAGAGCGGTAGCATAGCTTTCCACTTTACAGATGAAGACTTTGATCTGGGGAGGTCAACTGACGTGCCTAAGGTCTATGCTGAGGACATCCCATGTTTCTCAATTTACAGTCTAGGAATTGTTCCTGATTTGTTTTACTGCTTCAGCTTGATTGTACACACCAGCTGGGGAAGCAAAGACTGGGGTAGTGTGAATTCTTGTGGTTTTTTGGGTCACTACACAGTCCTCAGAAATGGCTTGCATAGCTACAAGAACTGAAAGGTCTACCAGTGCTGTGGAGTTTCTCATGGCTACTGCAGCTTCACAGTTACAGTGCTTGCCTAGGGTCCTACAAACAGGACACAGAGGGTCATGGGGTCACTCAAGACTGAACTGAGAGGATGTACCATCAAAATAAGCAACGTGGGATAGGAAGATAAACAAACGAAGGAGACAGCTTGGAACGAAGACGCAGAGGCCAGGTCGATGTCAGAGGGCCATGCGGTCAGTGCCTGGGGCCACTATTTCCTAGTCTTATTAGGTCTACTGCAAGACCAGAGTCATGGACCAGGGCATGAGGCACAGTAGCAGAGGGGGGGTTTCTAGGATACCAAGGCTAAGAAAAATATTGAAGAATGGCACAGGGCTTACTTCCTCATATTTGGTCGTTTTGTTTTTCTTCTCTTCATAGGAACCTCTGATTTTTTTAATTTGTAAGAATCCCAAGGGGGTAATCAATAACAGCCTAAGTAGAGGAGGAAGACTAGCAATGTTGATTCAACTCAAGGCTGGGCAGGGTGGCTGTTTGCGTGATCCTCACATCGGGCAAAGTCCCCTTCCAGAGGATTTCCCAGGACCAAAGGCCGAGAGGCACCTTTAGAAGAGGGGGAAAAAGTTTAGGAGTTGGGGACTGATGTGACTGGCAGTAGGAACTGTGCCAAAGAGAAAGTTTAGGATAATGGCCTGGCATAGCCCACTCTCAGTCAAGTCCACTGGAGGGAGTTCCTTACCTTGGCCCTGCTCAGCCCCCCCCCCCCCCAATCTGGTTGCTATCAGCCTGTGCGGCTGCTGGCAGGCTCGTTATTTATTTATCCCAGTGTAATGGGGTGAGGAGGGAGCTGGCCTAAGGCTGGCATTCCGAGGCCATGCCACTGAGCCACAGGCGGTTTGCATGGGTGTGTGAGTCACTGGGGCTGCACGCTGCTCAAACCAGACGCGGCTGGGCTTGGGGACAGCAGGCAGCCTAAAATAGAGCCCCGCCCTCTGCAGCTGGCAAGCTTTGGCGAGGCATCAGCCCTTGACACCAAAACCTGGGCAGTCGTATGAAGTTGGCTTCCTCTGGGTGGGGTCCCTCAGCAGAGATAGAGATTTTGCAGTTCTTTTGTTCTCTGTCTTCATAAGAGGAAGATGTTCACCCAATGATCACGCTATTGCTGTATTCTGAATGCCTTGTAAGAGTTACATAAACTGTTCTGTATAATACATTAACCAAGAAGTCGGGGGGCTACAGTTAACATTGATTTGACTCAGCATCCTAAATGTAGCAATAATCATTGTCTCCTGTCTAGTTTTGGTTACTATCTTCGTTCCTATCTGGTTGCAGTCTAATTCTAAAGCAGATATCATGTGATGAAGATATTTATTGCTGCTCCTATGGAACTGGAGATCATATCAGAGTCACCTGGGAGAGATGAGACCTTAACCTGAAAGTTGCTATCTTGTTAAGTTCATTCATGGAAGATTCTACCCGGTTTCTATGGCTGACTCTCTATCCTTTACCTGTCTCATAAATATTAGTGTCATCCAGGGTGTGTTCTTGATTCTTTTGCCCTTCACACTCCTTTCTTCTGATTGTCTTATTCACACACCAGTGTTAAAAGTATCAGTGCACCACTGAGTACCAGCTTGGTATCTCCTCTGTGTGTAAAGCTTGTATATCTTTATGTATCCTTGATATTTCTTTCTTTTTTGTCCTTCTGAGACAGGGTCTCGCGGTATCTCCTCTGTGTGTAAAGCTTGTATATCTTTAGGCATCCTTGATATTTCTTTCTTTTTTGTCCTTCTGAAACAGGGTCTCGCTATGTAGTTCAGGCTGGCCTTGAGCTCATTTTGTAGCCCAGACTGGTCTCAAACTTGCAACAATCCTCTTGCCTCAGTCTCCCGAGTGCTGGAATTACAGATGTGCGCCACCCTGCCCAGCTTTATCCTTGATATGTCTACCTGGATATCTCACGTATATCATACCCTAAAACATGTTCAAAATTAATTAGGTAGGGGATTTAGCTCAGTGGCACAAGCACTTGCATGGTAAGTGTGAGGTCATGAATTCAATCCCTGGTTAAAAAAAACGGGGGGGCTGGGGATTTAGCTCAGCGGCATAAGCGCCTGCCTTGCAAGCAGGCAGTCGTGAATTCAATCCCCAGTACCAATAAAAAAGAAAAAAAGAAAGAAAGAAAATTGGGTGCTTGCCTAAACCTTTCTCTTTCTTTATTCTTTATCTTGGAAGATTGTGCATTAATGTGTGTTTTCTGAGCTAGAAATTTGCAAGTTGCTCACTTTCTTCTTTGTGCTTGTGTCCAAAATTTAACTTACCAGCTGTCTTAGAATTCACTTTTCTCTGTTCCAGCTTCCATTGCGCTGAGTTAACCAGCACCCTTCTTGGCTTGACCATGCCGTAGCCACCTGTCCTGTCTCTTCTTCGGTCCTTTCTCTTGATGTTTTGTTATGGAGGGATGCTAGAACCTGTTTTTTTCAGAGGAAGTTAAGAGGTCAATACCTAACAACCAAGGAGAATCAGAACTGGGAATACAATTAG